TATGTATAAAAAAAAAAAAAAAAAAAAAACGGGAATCCGAAATTACTGCCAACGAAATTGGTGGTGCAGGAAATACGAGGCAAGCTGCCTCCACCCGAAAGGCAGCACCACTGGTACCTGCGAGGAGTTTTGCGGCTCAGGAACCATCGATTGTTACGTTACTCCGTAAAGCCACGTATTTACATGGCGTGTTCAACGCTGGCTTGGACGTCTGGAAGTTATTCAGAGCTGTTGGACGGACAACGGCACATTTGAACTTGGGATTCCTTTCCGTTATTAACCCTGGCCGGCATAACCCTGATGTGCAGGGCGGTTGGCGTCGTGAACCCGTTGCGCTCCCGGTTCCTGCAGTAGCGCAATTCTGCTGTTCTTTTCAATGTCAGACACGTTCTGCTCTGCAGCCTGCGCCGTCTCGTCGGGCGCCCATGTTGATGTTGCTTACTCCGTACGCCATCGCGTAATCGGTCGCGCCGCGGCGTCGGCCTCTTTGCACAATGCACGTGCACATGGGCATTCCATCTACTAGTCACCATGACCATGTGGGAGAGAGAGAGGGCGGGTGGGTGTCGCCCACTCGATGCTGGTGTGTGTGTGTGTGTTTCTCTCCTTTCCCCTCGCCCTTCCTTCTACTACGTTACTAGGTTCCCGTGTCTTCTAGCTTTACGCCTGGTGTTTCAACAATATTAGGCCGATGAAACACGGCGGGCGGCGCACGGTGCCATTTATTGTTCCCATGCCATCCCAATCTGAGGAGGATCTTGGGGCTGTCGAGCACCCAAGAACCAAGGCCTACTATTTTCAACTGACCAACTTGGGACGTCTCTCCGTACTCCGTGCCGAATGCCGGCCTTCAAGTCCGTTTCAGGTCAAGGCATCCTAATCCCAATCTTCCTAGCCTGGACGAGCAGACTCGAGCTTGGCGGCCTCTAGTAAATACTAATAATACTAATACGGCGTGTTACCAGCGTCTATTGTTATTGCAGGACGTGTTGTTTGTGCTTGGCCTTGGTTCATTCAATCCTTCAATTCGCAGAGCCGGACGGACATGTACTCGCCGGCAAAGGACATGGATGGTGGGAATACGCTGTTTTAGAAGCTGACTCGTCCACTCCCTCCCCCAAATTCTCTTTCTTTGGCTCTGCCGCAAGGAAGATTGAGGCTTGGCCACAGACATGCCATGCTCGCAGCCACCACAAAAGCAACAAACAACGTGAGTCGTGGCAATGTGGCGTGGCGCTGTTCATCACAAGGGCCATGAGTTCTCGCGCTTTGTTGGCGGCATCAACTTGCTCCCAGATTCCACCGCTTGCTGCAGGGTAGGTCAAGTTCCACGGTGACGTCAGACGTTGGAGCGCATACGCGTGTCAAGGGGTTCTTACTACTCCGTACAGGAGACACATTGGCCGGAGGGAGCACCAGCGCAGCGTCTTCCTGAAGCCTACCTACTTAAGGTACCTACCTACCTAAGTACTTACTCAAGTACATAGGTACTTAAGTCGGTACTTACCTTACGTAAGTAGCATCTGGCATCTGCTGGCAGTGAGCACTTGCCCCAGAGGTGCAGTCCAGTGTGGTCCAACCAACCGCCGAGCTTGACCCGTTGGCTGCCCCGCTATAGCTTCAAATGTTCAAATGTTCAAATGTCAAGTCTCCTTCCTACCACTGACCGCCGCAAGCCGTCAACCACATGCCCAAGACAATAACCGGAGACGTTGCTTGCAACACCTCTCGGTCGCCGTTACCTCCAGCAAGGGCGTGCCCACTGCCACATAGGCCGAAAACAATGACCACCAACGGCGATGCCCCGTCGCTCCCGAGGGCTGATTCCCCCACGGGCTCGCCCCGATCTGCATCCGTGTCACTCCAGGCAGCGGCAACCATGAATGCTGGTCTTCAGCGTGAGCCTACGCGCCGTGCGTTACTATTGCCCTCGGTCTCGCATCTCCCTCGTCGACTCTGCACAAACCTGTCTCTTACTTTGCACGTGTAGGGTCTTCCACCAGCTCGCTGGCGCGGAATACGTCGTCACCAAGCGCCAGCCGTCGACGATCGACCGTCCTCATGAACTTGCAGTTGAATGATCCGTCTGTTCCGGCCCCCGGAGAGATGGCACAGGAGCACTCTGGACACCATAGATTGAGCCCGCAGCCACCTTCTGCCTCGCCGCTGATGGCTGATCCGCATCATCACCGGGCGCCTAGCCTGGGGGAACTGCATCAGGAACTCGAGGCGGAGCAGGAAGGACATGTTGTGAGCGAAACCCGAAACCCGAAACTCGAAGCTTGATGATACCAAACACCTGACGCGGCCTTGGGTCCATGCATTCCGTACACGCTCACTTGTGCTGACGTCGAGCAGAATCGGCTCCTCCAGATGATTCGGCAGCAGCAGCTCGAACTTCAGCGGCTCCAGACGTCGCGGCCCGGACTCAGCACCGACCCGGCTGCCGACGACAGTGCCATTGCAGAAACCGCGCCGAGACCCATGCACGGAGCAGGGGGAGTGTCACAGAGTAATGTCTCCGGGGCCCAGCCCGTCGGAGCCTACGCTCGCTCACCCGTCTTCCCTCGTGGGTCCATGGAGATGGCCCGCGCCGAGATGCACCGCCGGTCTAGGACACCAAGCCGTGGTGCCTCGCCCCGTCTCCGAGCGACCTCAATAAGCCAAGAGAGCGGAGACTGGGTCCTTGGTGGTCGCGACGAGAGCGCCTTTTACCAGGCTGAGACACAGATGCTTACCAGGGAGAATCAGATGTTGCGACATCGCATCCGTGACTTGGGTATGCGCGTTGTGACGGAAGAGAAATGCTTTTGCGAGACGAGGCTAATCCATACATGCATGCGTACAGAGAAGCAACTTGCTGAACATCATTCCGGCTCAGGAACGGGGACTGAGCCGTCGGTACCGTCACATCTGACTCAGTCATCAGCCACCGGAGACCCAGCTGGCGAGGTCGGGCCACGGGAATCGTAGCCTTGGGATCATGATGTATTTCTTGCGACTGTGCGTTTTACACACATTCCCTACGGAGTTTACGGCGGACAATTACCATAAGAATGGGCATATATGCATAGGCGCAAGGCTAACAGAGCTCGCTTTGATAAACACGTTGCCTGATTTGTGAGGAGTCGAAGCACCAAAGGCTGCATTGCATGCACGCATGTACCGGACTGATGTTCAAATAATGGGCTGAATTCAATGAGACGTGTTGCGTGACTCGACGTTGACGCCTCGGAATGACTGAACACATGTAGCATTATAGCAGCACCCAGGGAATCAGACCGGGATCGTGCAGCAATCCATTCAACTGTGCGGAGTGAGTGAGCATCCCAATCCCACCCGCCGTGGTCCGTGGATGATGATGGGATGTGCGCAGTTGCACATGCCGGATGTCGGGTCGGCAATCCGCTCCGAAACTCGGCGCCGCGCACGACGTCGTCGGTCGGCCCTCCGAGGTCGCCGGTTCAGTCAGGTATGATCATCCTCGCACCTCGTACCACGCGCGCCCAGCAACGAGCAACCTACCACACACGGTTGTTCTTCAGGAAGTGACATGGTAAGAAGAATGCCGCCATCTGCATCAAGACGAATCGTGCCGCGGCGCTTCTTGCGCCAGTTTGGCAGCACACGCGCCGCCCAGGCAGACTTTACTCACGCCGTATGCGAACCCCCCCCTCCCAACAACAGCGACGACAGACAAGCAGACCCGGAGGAGAGGACTGACGCGGGAAGAGCAGATCATCGGCGGCGGGGTGGTCGGGCTCTCCATAGCGCAGCGGCTCTCGCAGCACCAAACCGGGCGGCGGGCGTCGGCGGTGCTCCTGGAGCGGCACGCGTCGCTGGGGACGGAGACGACGTCGCGCAACAGCGAGGTCATCCACGCGGGCATCTACTACGGGCGCGAGACGCTCAAGACGCGGCTGTGCCTCCGGGGCAAGCAGCTCCTGTACGAGTTCTGCGGGCGGCACGGCGTGGCGCACCGGCGCACGGGGAAATGGATCGTCGCGCAGGACGGCGCGCAGCGGCGCGAGCTGGAGAGGCTGCGGGCGCACTGCGATGCCATGGGCGTGCCGACGCGCTGGGTGACGCGGCGCGAGGTGCGCGAGGAGGGCGAGGGCGTGCGCGCGGCCGCCGGCGCGCTCGAGTCGCCGACGACGGGCATCGTCGACGCCCACGGCCTGGTGGCCTCGCTGGCGGGCCTGTTCGAGGACAGCGGCGGCGTCGTCGCGCTCAACTCGGCCGTCGAGGGCGTCTGGCCGCTCGGGGCGTTGAGCCCCCCCGGCAGTCGTGGCTGGCGGGTCGACGTGCGCGACGCGGCGACGCGCGAGGTCTCGAGCTTCACGGCCGAGACGGTCGTCAACGCCGCCGGCCTGGCGTGCGTCGACGTCTACAACATGGTCGTGCCGGCGGGCCTGCGGAAGCGGCTGTGGTTCGCCAAGGGGTCGTACTTCTCCTACTCGGCGTCGAGGCCGCGCGTGTCGAGGCTGGTGTATCCTGCGCCGGTCCCGGGCGCCGGCGGGCTGGGCACCCATCTCACGGTCGACCTGGGCGGGAGGATGCGCTTCGGGCCGGACGTCGAATGGGTCAGCGGCCCCGAGGACCTGGCGGTCGGGAGGGAGCGGCTGGCGCGGGCGCTCGACGACATCAGGGCGTATTTGCCGGGCGTGGATGAGACGTGTCTGCAGCCCGAGTACGCGGGCATCAGGCCCAAGTTGAGCTACGGGGGGGCTGGGCAGGCTGGCGACAATTTCAACGACTTCGTGGTCAGGATGGAGGACGGCTATCAGGGCTGGGTGAATTGCTTGGGCATCGAGAGCCCCGGGCTGACGAGCAGTCTGGCCATTGGGGAGATGGTCGAGGAGCTGTTCTACGGGACGAGGGGGAACTGACACAGCGCGGGTGAGCGAGCATGCCGCTCCCATCCAAGGCAGAGTGTCTCGGGAGAAGCTGACGTCCGGACGGATAGAGCGGAACCCGTAGACGTTTGCTATGCATGTCACTCGCGCGAAAAAAAAAAAACCCCCCGGGACATCATCACTACAGAGGAGATGTCAATCATACCGATGAAGACGACCCAGGGCCACTCACTTTCAAGCCGGGCGGAAGGGGCAGGGTTGTATTGCGTTGTTACTCTTGACAGACCGTCTAATGCCTACGAACATTGGCAGTAGAGACGTCAGGGATCCCGTCGGAGCGCTTCCTTCTCTGGGCCTCCTTCCAATGCCTCCAGATACGGGCCCGGGGAGTGGGCATACAAGAGGTCAAGTTCGCAGAGTCACAGAGTCAAGGTAAGTTTCGAGCGCTGTGTGAAAAGGGTCCGACTATTCTTGCTGATCTCGACCAACTACTGAGTTTCACGTTGTATACACCATACCAACCACCTACGTGCGTTTGTTTCACCACGAGATGTTCTGCAACGCATGTGGTCAGCCAGCAGGAGTAAAGGCAAGCTTGAACACGGTATCCAAGACCAATGGGTCCTGCCTGCATGGGCCATCGGTATGCCGAAACAAACACGGACCAGTTCTCAGCGGCGAGAGCCTGGCCCAGAGTAGCATCTCCTTTTCGACACTGGTTGATAAGCTGAATTGTAGCCTCGAGTATGATTTCTTGCCGCACATTGACATCGTCATCGTTCTGTCGAGTCACGAGACACCAAGTTGGTGCCATGGGATACTTTGGAGACTTTTGTCGGCCACGTCCGTCTCGTCCAAGACTTACATGGTTGCACACCCATATATGGGTAGAGCCCTTGGACAGCACACTCCAACAGCCGGGGCGGAGGTGCTTTACAATAACTTTTCCGGCAAACTCCATGAGGTGTAGGTAGTTTTCATTGACTGCCAGGACAGCGTCGCTGTAATTTCCGGCACGCTCGTGGTTGGGACCAGGGCCGCACGTCGTCTTCTTCAAGGGGAAGGCGTCGACAGGGGAGCGGCTCGTTTCCAGGTTGCCATCGAGACTAGCTGCCCCAAGAGCAAGTGTCTTGTGCTGTTCGGGCTTGTCAGGAATCGAGTCGAGAGGGGGGGGGGAGCTTGAACGCGAGTTGCCGCTAGCCATGGTAAATAGAGTCGATGGTTGGCCAACGGAGGCTCGATCTGCGTGTACAAGCGAGCAGGCGCCTTTGGGGATACATGCTCGCTATGTGTACAAGCGTTTTACTTTGTCGACCGACTTGGCTTGGACGGCACACTCTTTGTGTTTGGAGTCTTGTATTTGCGAAACTGTATCGCCTTGATCTGTTGTGACGCCACCACGCCACCTCGTAGCTCTCCTTTTACAGCGTGGACATTGTTGCAGCCCTGTTTTCGTCTCGTCGGCGTCTTGATTGCTGCGCTTGTGCCGCTACACGATCCATCTATACGCCGTGGACATGTACGAGTTCGGAGGGGTCGCCCAGACAATACTTCTGCACACATCTTCCGAGCCGGCTTGGTAACTACACAATCGCGACGCGGAGCAACCAGACTTCTTGCAGTTTTGAATCATGATTTGCGCTCATTGTGCGCCTGTCGTCCTCGTGTCGAAAGCACGGGTTACTAATAGCTCCGGCGCTATAGAATAGCTCTCGAGTGTGCACGGGACGCTACCGTGGACTTGAAGGGGGGGCAGACGCCGATACTTCATTGTTTCCTTTCCTCTCGACCATGTCGTTCAGCTCTGCCAAGTTCTTGCGTATCGATGATGCCCGCTTTAGCTGGTGCTCTGCTGTTGCTGTCGCCGTCGCCGTCCATCTGTCGTTTCCGCAACAGCGTGGCTGGAGAGTCGCCCATGTTGCTCGACAAAGGTGAGTACGGCGCCAGGAACAGGGGCGACGCCATCAACCACGTTCAGTTCACCTTGACTACAGCTGGTTACTCACTCTCGTAGAGTTCCCGTGTTGTCCTGTCCTGCCTCTGCGGGCCGCCGCCATGTTTGGCCTTGTTACAAGGTTAAGCCACTATAGTATACACCTAGTATTCTATATAGACCTTATAGAGTAAGTAGTATCTAACCTACTCCTTAGCTAGGTGCTTTAGGACTCCTACCTACTAGTTACTATGTAATGGACTCGAGCTGTAGGCCCGAGTGTACACAAGGCACCGGCACGGCGCCTCGTCGGATACTTGTCGGATACTTGTCGGATACTTATCGGATGCACATCAGACCCACGTGTATATAATAGCTGGAAAAGAGGGGACAGGAAGCTTGTCCTTTCTTCCTCCTTTCTCCTTAAGTTTATAGTCAATACAAGTAACGCTTACACACAGTCGCCTGTTAGGCCAGTCCTTAACATACTAGTATTGACTTGAGCAGATAAGACTCTCTGAAATAAAGAGGCTTAGTAATATAAGGTAGAGGAAATTCTAGTAGTAAAAAATATACTTGGATGTAATAGACTCGAGCTTATAGCTCGAGTTAATACTAGTATGTTAAGGACTGGCCTTACAGGCGACTGCGTGTAAGCGTTACTTGTATTGACTATAAATTTGGAGAGAAAAGAGGGAAAAAGGAGAAGTTCAGTGTGAGGCTGCGAGCGGTAATTAGTCAGTTGCTCGCCGCGCGCCCATTGGCCATGTATCATCTCAGCCTCCTTCTATTTCCAAGTACGGCCAACCGTCACCGCAACATCAAAAAATGAACAACAAGACTCGGACTTTTCTCAACATCCGGAGTAACACTGACGCACTTAAATCTACATACAACTAGTATCCTACAACCCCTTCGACAACTCCCTCAGCCTGTCTTTCAATCGCCGTCGGGTGAAGGCGCTCTGGATATGCAGTTCCCCAACCACCCGAATGCCGCTCCAGCAATGGAATACCATGTAGCCGCTCCGGCAGACAAGCGGAATCAAGCTGTTCCGGGATCATTTTCTCAAGTTTGGGAGCGAAATCCGGACAAATATGGTCAGACCGCCCAAAACAACCAGCAGAAGTGCTCCCAGCAAGTCCCGGCCTTTTTCAAGGACAGTGTTAAGCGGGCTCGAGAGAGGAATCAGAGGTAGGAGTAGGAGAACTTGCTGTCGTTGCAACACTCTTTCCTAGTCCTCACACTACGTTGCCAGTTCTAATCGCCCCGTCATGCAGACAAAGTGAGACTGAGAGGAGGCTCCAGGAGCCAAACGTCGGTCAAGAAAGACGACATCAGATCTGGTCCATCACTGGCCGCAAAGAAGGACAATACTTGCGATTTTTGCGAACCAAGGACAGCCCCGCGAACTACCAAGCAATCAAAGTCATTGGCAAGGGCGCTTTCGGTGAAGTCAAACTAGTACGGAGAAGGGCAACCGGCCAGGTCTACGCAATGAAGTCCTTGATCAAGACAGAAATGCTTCAGAGAGACCAGCTTGCAAATATTCGATCAGAGCGCGACATCTTGGCAGAGGCTGAAAGTCCCTGGGTTGTGAAGCTTTTCACCACTTTCCAGGATGCGCATTTCCTCTATATGCTTATGGAATTCTTACCTGGCGGTGATTTAATGACAATGCTTATCAAGTATGAGATCTTCTCGGAAGCTATAACACGGTTTTACGTGGCAGAGTGCATATTAGCCATTGAGGCAGTCCACAAACTAGGCTTTGTCCATCGGTATGCCGTGCTGCACCCTAGAATAGATTCTTTGTATTACTGACACTGGATATCTAGAGACATCAAGCCCGACAATATCCTCCTAGACCACGGCGGCCATGTTAAGTTGGCAGACTTTGGCCTTTCCACCGGCTTTCGTCGTCTGCATGACAACAGCTACTACCAGCAGCTACTGCAGGGGAAGTCCGATAAGCCGAGAGACCGGAGCTCAGTTGCCATTGACCAGATTGACCTTACTGTCGGCAATCGAGCGCAGATTAATGATTGGCGACAGTCGAGGAGGAGGCTGATAGCATATTCTGCGGTTGGAACACCTGACTATACTGCGCCCGAGATATTCAGTGGCCATGGTTACTCGTTTAGCTGCGATTGGTGGTCTCTCGGCACAATTATGTACGAGTGCCTGGTGGGATGGCCTCCATTTTGTGCTGAGCATCATCGCGACACGCACCGCAAGATTGTGAACTGGAGACAGGCTTTGTGTTTTCCCGATGACGTCCAGCTTGGTCTCGAAGCTGAAAATCTTATCCGAAGGTACGCTTCATCGTGACTGCCCCAGGAGCTGTTCCAGTGCTAACATGACAGCTTAGCTTGATTTGCAATCATGAGGACCGAATTGGACTTGGCGGTGCGCAAGAACTCAAGGCTCACCCTTTCTTTCGGGGAGTCGAGTTCGACGGCCTACGCCGTATCAGAGCACCATTTGAGCCACGACTGGTTTCCAATATCGACACGTCGTATTTTCCCACGGACGAAATCGATCAGACCGACATTGCCACCCGAGTCAAGGCCCAGGGGCAGCAGGGCGTCGAAATGCCGTCGGGGGATTCGTTGGACATGAACTTGCCTTTTATTGGATACACTTTTAAGCGGTTTGACACCAATTTCGGGTAATACGTGTCCAAGGTGAGTACTAGAGTACGAGGTGTATGTTTGTGTTCGCCACGTGCACCCGCTTCCGAAGTGTTCTGGTGCTCCCGCCTGGTAGAGCTTCTGGTACAAGAAACCTCGAAGAGCAACGAGACTTGTCAGCTTTTGACATGACCATCCCTCCAGCTGTCTCAAGTCTTTGCTTCATGTCGTACATGTAGGCAGCGGGTAAGCGGACGAAAGTGACCAACTGTTGTCATTTGCACGGAAGAGAATGAAGGGTTGCTGGCCTGGCCCGTCTTGCTATTTCATGCCTAGGTGTTTGCTTCATGTCGCGATAAATAAAGAATTTGCCATGAATATATTCCATCCGCGAGACAAGCCATTCGTCCTGCACTCCATCCGACACATGAAAAATTTTTTAGTCTTGACTTGACCACTTCATCCGTCTCGTCTTGTACAGCTCACATACGTCTACTGGTACTTCTTTTCCTACCATGTCTGTAAGTTTTCTTCACACGAACAGCCACACTCTCTTTCTTTCAACATCCAGCGCAGTCACTGGATTTGACTCACACTATACACCGGCCGCACGCTCTCCTACAGTCAGTCGCACATCACAGTAGAAAGCAACCCCTGCCTAAGATAAACACCAACGCCCCCTTCAGGTCTCAAGGTGCTGTGTATGGCACTGTAGAATAGGAGACGAAACCGTCAGGGCAGACAGATGCCAACGGAGGTGCCAAGTTCATGCTCATGGAGTGACTCATTCGAGCAGTAGTCAGTCATATGCTATTCAACTGCCGTGCAAACTTAAGTAGGCCACGGACCAGACGAGCCGCCAAGAAGCGAGAAAACAAGGGACGAATGGACACGAGACCTGCCATGAGCGAATGTGTTTTCCTGATACGCCCCCCAGTCATTCCATGTACAAATCAGTCATTTTCACCTATGTATGTGTGCCCGCGCCTCGCCCTTCTTCATCTTGGCCGCACTCAATTTTGGCAAGAGAGAATATTTGCAAGGACCCCCCGACAGAAGAAAGAAAAAAAAAATTCAACTTGACCAACAACGCCTCATCTTGCTCCAGCCAGCGATTACTCGCTTTCCCATGAAAACACGACGCCTTGTGAACACCCCAATTGTGCATCAGTCATCGAAAACCCCCATCTTGTGCCTTCCATGCTCACCCGTCGTCCATTAGTGCCATTGCTCTTTCTCTTTTCTCGTCTCAACTCATCGTGATGCTTGGAAAGAATTTTCTGCCTTGGACATTGATTTGCATTTCATAAATGCCAGTTTGCGTGCCGACGAATCTAAGCATGACATTAGCTGTCTTGACACTCACGCCACACACTGACTTGGAAAAAAAGAAAAAAAAATCTTACAAGGTACGGCCATCCTCGGTCCAGGCTAAACCTGCGGTATTATCATCAGACGGAGGCACTTCGAACACTCCATGATCAGTCGCTAGAGTTCCTCGTACCGCGCTCTCCTCCCAGCGATTGACAACTTGATTGACTAGAGGCCCGAGGAGCGATGAGTCTTCATTGTCAGTATCATTCGAAGGGCGCTCTCTTGCCTGCAACATTTCGAGCATAGTCAGATACGACGAATCCTGTCTCTCTCTCTGATCTCGCATTGCGGCCACCGTTTCACCGATCCTATCCATCCACCTTTGATCGGGCCGTCTTGTCGATGCTGCTGTTTGTAGTTGTTGTTGAGTGACCATGTCCTCGCGGGCGAGCTGCGTGAGCTGCCTGGCATTACGGAGCCGCTCTTGTTGGCGCTCTCTCTGTTCCCGGTAGGAGCCGAGAATGTCGCCCATTGCTCGGCCCATGCTACTGCTGCGCTGTCGAGTTCTGGAAGATTCGCCATCAGCGGCTGGCGGCCGCAAACTTGACAGATAGGTCCAGGTCAAATCGGATGGCCCACCGCGAGCTCGTTCACGCCGTCTTCGGTCGCCTTGAATCGCCTCCAGCACGACAGTTTCGTTGGGCGTGAGAGGCTGGTTCAGAGTCTCCAATGCTTCAGCATTTCGACGTGTGCGTGTGCTTCCCGAAGGGGGCGATCGATTGGACCTCCTGTCCGAGTTGCTATCCAGCAGCCGGGGGTCGACTGTGCTTCGATCAAGGATGTCAATAGGTCGGAAGTCGGCCTTGACATTTATGTCAACAATCTGACGAACTACGAAGTTGCTCCGCGCATCAGCGAAGCCGATATGGCCTCTATCTTCAGTCCAGGAGAGAATGTCAAAAGGGCCGGGGGAGAAGGCCATGTCTCGAATAGCCCCAGGACCACTTTCTGGGCGAGATGACTTGAACGTGGTGATGAGGGGCTCCTCACAAGGGTCGAGAAGGAGAGTGGTGTCGAAAACAGAAATTGTGCCGTGTTGTGTTCCGACTGCTAACTGAGCCCCTGATGGTGAGAAGCATGCAGCAAAACTACCCCGGCTGTCCGAGCTGTCATCTTTCCTTTGACTTTTGAGTAGAATTCTTTGTCGCTGTTCCCATCGACATCGGCTATCGTCGCTGGCTGGAGTTGTGGGGGCAGCTACCTCCGTTTCGACCCGTTCATGGACGTAGAGGTACGGATCATCAAGAATGGCAACTAGGATTCGACCGTCGGGGGACAGTATTGCTCGATTGACAAAATCAGGGTATGTAACGACATCAAGTGGCTCTACTTTATCGTTTTGGTCGAATCCGCGCAGACTCACGAGGACGACGGTGCGATCGTTATTGGCCAGAACAGCGACAGGCTCATTGTATGGTGCTCCATCAAGAGGGGGCAATGCCGGAGGGAACCACAGCGTGACGCAGTTAACTCGGTCTTTGGCAAGTTTCAAGGTCTTGGCGATCAAGCTCTTACTTGAACGTCGTGCGTGGGCGAGAAGGGCAAGTATGGAATCGTCACGGTCGGTTCCTTCAAGGTTCAGTTGATGTCTCGTTTCGGCATCCAGATGCAGTCCCAGCAACGGTTGTCGATTGCTTTCGATTGCATCTTCGAGTTTAATAGCGACAAACTCGCCTGTCTCGCTCCCGCAGCATAACCACCCATTTTCGGCTACTAGGCATCGCGGCGCAAAGGTAAGGAGCTTGATGGTTTCGCATTCATGGGTAAGTGTATTGAGTCTCTGAACATGGTTGCTGCCGCTTCCTCCGGGAAAGTAGACGATGTTTCCCTTTTCCGTGCTGATCAACGACCGCAGCTGCCAATGTCTGCGGGAGAAGATTGGTGAGCTCAAGTATGGCCGTGGGAGTAGGCCGCGTAATGGACATGGACACATACTGGGAACGGACGCCAATGCGGTAATGCTTGCGTCCATTTTTGGATATTAGGCCCTGGGTCAGGTAGCACCTGTAGTTGCCCACGATGTTAGAGGAGTGTATTTCCAACAAATTTTTGAAAGCAGAGTGAGGAGGACAGCCACAGGTGGCAGGAGGGGGAAGAGAAACACGAACTGGCCGTCGTCATTACTGGCCATGGTAGACGCTACCGCCAGGGAACTTGGCAAACAAAGGATGTCCGCAACGTGTCTCAGAGGTCACTCGAGCTACTGGATAAGCCCGGAGACATGCAACGGCCAAGTGCCGTGGATGGGATGTTGACGGCCCACTGATGCCCGGCTTGATGTACCGTACGATGGAGTATCGGCAGCCGAGGGGCGCGAGGGAGCCAGTGCAGGAACCTGGACAGGCGGCATGCGTAGTAGGTGCCGGCGAGCGACTGGATGGAAAGGGCGTCGGGTGTCGGGTGTCGAGGTTGATGGTCGGGGATAATTGACGTAGACCTGGGCGCGGTGAAGGCGAAATGCAGGAGACGGGTTACAGAGTTTGAGAGAGGATGTGGGTTTCCGCCGCTCGAGGCTGTTACGTGATGCAGACGTTTCGATGGAAGGCTAGTTTATTGAGCTTGTCACCTGCAATGAAGTTTGGTACTAGTCCCCAAGGTACCGGGGTACTTGCCTGGGCACGGAGGATAGCCTTGGGTGCCCGGCCGTACCAAGCAAGCGAGTGGAGCTGGTGCATGTATTTCGGAGAGCCTACGGAGTACGGAGTACTCAAGTGCTTAGGTACCTGCGTACTTGAGTACCTAGGTACTTACCTAAGTACTTAGTCTGTAGAGGTGGGCAGGTCGACTGCTGGAGGTAGATGAATGACGTGTGGCGTGGTCGAGGTGAATCACGGCCAGGTGGCTATAAGTACCTAGGTACCTACCTAAGTACCTACTTAGTTTAGGTACTTGTTATCAATCGTCGTACCAAAAAGGCAACAGCTAAGTTACATCACCACCAAAAACTCCAAAAACCTCTCTTTAATCTTGAACCAAACAGCTTTAAAATGAAAAATTGATCGCATTCGAAGCAAGGCGACCAGCGCATTACTGGCGGACCTCGGCTGACAGACTTCAGGCTACTCGTACAACAAGTAAAATGATCTACCTACTTACTGTCTAAGAAGTAGACACTAAACTGGTGAGGCAGCACTCAAGCTTTGGCAACGCTGATCGGCGACACCAGGGAAACTCCCAATAACGCCATGGTATGCGCATTGGAGCATGACCACCCGTGATGCCTGACCATAAATTCATGCTGCCTCTCTCCTTGGGGCGTCTACTGGACCTGGTCTGTTCAATGGCATTCCGTACTCCATGTTCTGTCAAGTGTGATCCGTGGTTGCCTGACCATCCTACCTGGACGTACGAGGAAACCAAAGGATTACATCTTCAAACGCAGTCCCTGGCCACGTCTCGGTTGCCAAAGGCGACGCAACGCCCTGTCGACCTCGTCGAGCCAGCTTCTAATGCCCACCTACCTTTTCTGGGAGCCTGCTTTGGCATCATGGAGGGCACTTGAGCACGCGTTGCTGCCGTACTGAGTGCTCACGTACTTATTCCGTACCAAATCTCTTACGACTGTTATCTTACCAGTCGGCAAGTTGCGTGACAACATGTGATCACCTTAGGTACCTACTCAAGTACCTAGGTAGGCAGGTGGCCAATATCTACCTACCTGGGCACTTGCTTAGGTAACTTGACTCTTGTCGTATCACTGCCGAGTGACGGCTGTCATGTTGCGTTTATATGACATTGCTTTTGGCATTCCGCCAGGGTGGGCGTCGTCGCACATGATTTTCAATGCACAGCCAGGAACCATATCTGGCGATGATGATGATGCAGAGTACTGGTCCAGTGGTTGGCGTCTGCTGGCCCACTTTTTATTCCTTGACCTCATGCACCCAGGAACGGGACCAAAGTTAATCCGCACAAACCTGCACTGCATGTGGAGACCACCTCCTTCTTGCCTCTTTCCGTCGCCTTCTATTGACAGCCAGCCAATGGCCGGGACTGGCCAATTTTTCGGGGCAAAAAAATTCGCTTTCTTCCCCTTCCCAATAAACCCATACAATCCACTCGAAACACTCTTCCCAACCTTCTTCCTCTTCATCACTTACCCATCTGTGGAGCGTGCCGTCGTCGTCTTTTCCTTCAGTCACTGTAATATTATACCCTCCACCATCATATCCAAGATGTTGGCTTCGCGTCTCTCCCGAGCTGTGAGTAGCTTCCCAAGTTGCACAAAAGCAAGCCTTCAACTGCCTGTTGGCGCGTTTTCGCCTAGCAATTCTGACTTTGCCCTCTCGTGACAGCTTCCCCGAGCTACCCCCATCGCTGCTCGCTCAGCTGCCTTTGCCAGGCCGCTGCCCCCCAGATTTGCCCGTTTTGAATCTACTGCAGCTGGCGATGGCGAAAAGGTCCAAGGTGCCGTCATCGGTATCGACTTGGGCACCACCAACTCTGCCGTGGCCATCATGGAAGGCAAGGTTCCCCGTATCATTGAAAACTCGGAAGGTGCTCGCACCACCCCTTCAGTAGTTGCCTTTGCCGAAGATGGCGAGCGACTTGTCGGTGTCGCGGCCAAGAGACAGGCCGTCGTCAACCCAGAGAATACCCTTTTCGCCACCAAGCGATTAATAGGACGCAAGTTCACCGACGCTGAAGTCCAGCGCGATATCAAGGAGGTTCCCTACAAGATCGTCCAGCATTCCAACGGCGATGCTTGGGTTTCTGCCCGTGGCCAGAAGTACTCCCCTTCCCAGATTGGTGGTTTCGTCTTGAACAAGATGAAAGAGACCGCCGAGGCTTACCTCTCTAAGCCCGTCAAGAACGCCGTCGTCACAGTCCCCGCCTACTTTAATGACGCTCAGCGCCAGAGCACCAAGGATGCTGGTCAGATTGCTGGCCTCAATGTTCTCCGTGTCGTCAACGAGCCCACCGCCGCTGCTCTTGCCTACGGCCTAGAAAAGGGGGCCGACAGCGTCGTTGCCGTTTACGATCTCGGTGGTGGTACTTTCGACATCTCCATCCTAGAGATCCAGCACGGTGTCTTTGAGGTCAAGTCAACCAATGGCGATACCCATCTCGGAGGTGAGGATTTTGATATCCACCTTGTTCGGCACATAGTCGCCGACTTCAAGAAGACATCCGGCATCGACCTGTCCAGTGACCGCATGGCTATCCAGCGTATTCGTGAGGCTGCTGAGAAAGCCAAGATTGAGCTGTCTTCTTCTCTCCAGACCGATATCAACTTACCTTTCATCACCGCCGACTCATCTGGTCCCAAGCACATCAACATGAAGCTCAGTCGTGCTCAGCTTGAGAAGATGGTGGATCCCCTCATCTCTCGGACCACTGAGCCTGTCCGCAAGGCTTTGAAGGATGCTGGCCTCCAGGCTAAAGAAATTCAGGAGGTCATCCTCGTCGGCGGTATGACCCGTATGCCCAAGGTTGCTGAGTCTGTCAAGAGCATCTTCGGCCGGGAACCCGCCAAGTCTGTCAACCCTGATGAGGCCGTCGCCATTGGTGCTGCAATCCAGGGCGCTGTTCTCTCTGGTGAAGTAAAGGACCTCCTGCTGCTCGATGTTACTCCCTTGTCCCTTGGTATCGAGACATTGGGCGGTGTCTTCACTCGTTTGATCAACCGCAACACCACCATCCCCACCAAGAAGTCGCAGGTGTTCTCTACTGCCGCTGACTTCCAGACTGCCGTCGAGATCAAAGTCTACCAGGGTGAGCGTGAGCTCGTGCGTGATAATAAGCTGCTGGGTAACTTCCAGCTCGTCGGAATTCCCCCTGCTCATCGAGGTGTCCCTCAGATCGAGGTCACCTTCGACATTGATGCTGATTCCATTGTTCATGTCCACGCCAAGGACAAGTCCACCAACAAAGACCAGTCCATCACCATTGCGTCTGGCTCCGGTCTCTCGGAAAGCGAGATTCAGCAGATGGTTGAGGACTCAGAGAAGTATGCTGAGGCTGATAAAGGCCGCAAGGCTGCTATTGAGGCTGCCAACCGTGCCGATAGTGTCCTTAACGATACTGAGCGCGCCCTCAACGAGTACGCTGACAAGCTAGACAAGACTGAGGCTGATGGTATCAAGGAGAAGATTGCTTCTCTGCGAGAATTCGTTGCCAAGAGTCAGTCGGGCGAGGGCACTGCCACCGCCGAGGAGATCAAGGAGAAGACCGATGAGCTTCAGATGGCTAGCTTGAATCTCTTTGACAAGATGCACAAGGCTCGTAACGAGGCCGGCTCCGGCGAACAGGCTTCTGGCGATCAGCAGCAGCAAGGCGAGAGTGAGAAGAAGGACGAGAACAAGCCCTAAATGGCCAGCCTCGTTTCTTTTTTCTTTTTTTTTCTTTTGGAATTTCTAAACCAAAACGAAAAGGGATTTGTTCGAACATTCCTCCAGCGTGGGTCGCGGCATAGATTCTTTTTTATCTTGTATTTCAATGTACTCATATCTTCCGCTTCACCTTTTGTACTTTTGCACAAACTGATTTGCCCATGTCAATAATACCATGGTTGGCGGAAATTTAGGCGTTAGAGCATCAAAACCTCCTCGAGAGTCTGGTTGTTTATGATATGAGGGCATCGATCTAAAGGGGGCCAGTGTTAGGATTGGCCGATGTACAATTTACTGTTTAACTAGATGATAATAACACATCCCCTCTCTGAACTCCTTGGGAATTCCCGTCAATCTCATTTCGGTTCTGTGTACAACTTGTGCTGTGAGGATCAACTAGGCGAAGCTTCTCACGTCGTATTTATGCTGTCCAACTCGACGGCGTGTTCAAGTTGTTGGTCCCATTGAGGGCCGAGTATCCTTCCCAGTCCTCTTCAGCCTTGCCAGCTACTGGATCCATCGCCACTGACTCGGTTTGTGCCCCGTGTTCCCGGCGAGCCAGTAGCGGCGTACTGTTACGGTCTATACTGTCCCCGAATACCAGGTTGGGCAAGTATGGACTGTCTCCGGGGGATGTCATTGTGTTGAAGCCAGCGCAGGACGAGCTGGCAGGCATTTCGCGGCACGGGCTACAAGATGGCTCGTGCCCGCGTCGATGCTGGCACTCGATGCTGCGGGTGATGGCATACTCGTGGTGATCAGAGAGCGTGAAGTGTGTTATGCGGATGAAGAGGACGACGAACAGGCAGAACAGGACGAGGAAGAAGGCCTGCGGGATGGGCGTTGCGTCGGCTGCGTCGGCGAGGGGGTCCGCTCCGGCTCTTGCTCCGGCTGGCAACGGCTGGGGCGTGGCCATGGTTGTGTCTGGTGCGCTGGGCGGTGGTGATGGACGAGACGAGGACGCGGGAAGACGGATGGACGACAGCTACGAGGTGGGTTGACGAGGATGGCGGGAGGCGGTGAAATGTGAAATGTGAAATGTGAAATGTGAAATGTGAAATGTGAAATGACTTGTTGAATGTTCTTCATTCCAGATGGCTATTGGATACTTGTCGGCGTGGGGATGGGCGTGAGACATGAAGGTGGCATGGAATTGAAGTTTTTCTTTACTCGTTTTTCGTCGAGTGCCTCTGATTGCTTTTGATATTCTTCCTATCGGAAATAAAGGGGGGGCATTGGAAAGTTGGGGATTTCCTCTACTCGCAAGTGCGCCAGCTTGTGACCTTTTGCTTCTACCGTCCAAAGCCGAACCAGCCCTTCTTCTTGGGCTGTTCCTCCTTTGCAGCACTGCTTGTTCCAGGCGCTGTTGTTGACGCACGTGTCTTACCCGGGTATTCGATGTAGTTCCAGGCAACGTCGAGGAAGATTGGCTTCATGGGCATGAGTTCCATCTTGGGTGGAAACTCTACTATTTTGCGTAGGTTTACGCGTCGGGGGTAGATGTGCAGCTTGGAGATGAGAGGAGAGTCGAAGTCGCCCTCGGCGGCTTCGCGCTCGGCGTTGCGGAGATTGTGCATGTGGACAATGGCCCTGTAGCGTTGGAGCTCGCCGTTGAGGAGACTGGAGAGGAAGGAGACGGCGTTGGCAGTTACGTCGATGCTCAATGGGGCGGTTTGCTGCTGATTGATATCGTCGTCTCCTCGAGGTAGGTTGCAGGAAGCTTCTTGAATGAGTGAGTTGGCGTGGTTGATGAGGGCAAGGGCGTTGGCGGCGGCGTCGGTGATGGCGTGGGATCGGGCAATGGAGAGACATCTTCAACACCATCACCAGTTAGTAGGTGGACTTGGGCGTGGCGCTTACAGAGGGTAAATTGAACCTACTTGAGCGCTCCAAAGTACTTTTCGTAGCCGTTGAGCCTGGTCGCGAGCGCCTCGTCGGCGGCCACACCGGGAAGCTCCTTGATCGACTGGACGTTTTGTAGCGTACCATCGTACAGGGCGACTTTCTCCTTCAGTTTGGCAAGCTTCTTGCTGGGCGGAAGCTCTCTCTGTCTCCTTTGTTTGGTGGCTTCGGTGTCTTGAGGGATCTTGACTTTTCTTCTTCGGAAGGCGTTGTAATCCTCGGGTCCGCCGTCGTCGTGGCCGGTCAGAACTCTGTTGCGACCGATCCTCCAACTGATCATTTCGTAGTTGACGGCAGTGCGGGTGATTTGCAGTCGCTGCATACGCGGGTCGCTCTGGGGTACGCCCTCTGCCTTGAGTTCGTCAATGGCTTGCTTCGTAGCGTCGACGACGTCCTGTGTTGCCATAAGAATTTCGTCGTACTGGGCTGCAATTTCATAAGGCTGCTTGTCTTGCGATTGCGTCAAGTTTCGGGTGAGGGTGGCTTTCGCAGTTTCAACAGAGGCCCATGCCAATGATATCTGAGCGTCTTCAATTTGAACTTGTCGCGAGCGCCAGGTGATGGTCGTAGGTGCGTTCTCTGCAGCATTTCCCAGCCTGGTTGCGTCGTTGCCTTCAGCCAGTATGCTTGGGTCGAGACGATTGATTTCCTTGACAAGGGCATCGTCTGATCGGGGGAATGAATTTTTGGCAATGGTTGGAATGGGGGTTGTCCGTGGTGTCTTCAGCCGGTAGGCGGCGTATCGGATAGAAGGGTCGATGGTCTCGGACAAGAGATCCTTGAAGAGGTCGCCTTTACCAGCGCTTGCAAGCGCACTGTAGATGACACGGGAAACAGCATAACTCTGAAGGCAAAGCTCCCAGTCGTGCTTCTCGAAAAGCATGGCGCCGCGGATCAGGGCAGCGTATGATTTCGCCTCGAGAATATCGTTGGCCGAGGCGCCAGATGCCGAATCCGAAAGAAGCTCAACGAGACGCTGCGAAGTACGGGAAGCCTTGTTGAGTCGGGAGACGATGTGCGATTTGGTCCGGCCAGTGATGTCCTTTTGCGCAGCCGATTTTGAGGCCTTGAAGCTCATTGCCTGTGCCCAGGCCCGCTCGCTTGTCAGGAGAAGCAGGTAGACATAGCTGGTAGCTGGGGGTTAGCCCGTCCTTTTCAAGGGAACGACGCATCGATGTGCCACGCTCACTGAATATTGGAAGAAACCTGCTCAGCCCCAATCTCTTCCTTGCTCTGAAACTTGCCACGGTTCTTGGTGACGATGCCCAGCTTCTTGCGAGAGCTCAGGAGGCGTTTGGCCAGTTGGCCGTGATAGGTGGAGTAGTCGCCGTAGAGCAGGGCTTGGTCCCGGCCCTGCACCACATAGCTGGTGATATCCATGGTTTTCCGACCCAATGCAACCGCCGTCTTGGACGGCCTTGAGATTGGGAAGAATGCTGGCGCCTCGACGCTGGTTGACGCTGGTTGACGCTGGTAACGGCCTGTTGGTGCGTGGCCGTGGGGTTACGGCCTTGGATTTTGCGGTAGTAGTTTTTGGCGGGGCAGACAAAGTCTGGTGGGCTTATGTAAGTTCGCAGGCCATTGACTTGGCAGGTTGCACAGCATCCGCCTTGAATTGCCGTCGCCGACTTTGTGTGTTTCTACGCGACCGGGTTGCGTGGTCGAAGGGCATTGGAGTACAGTTCTTGCCATCATGGCATGCGAATGGATTGGTTGTTCCAGATGGCACCACAGCTCGATACGCAGTCATGACCATATTCCCAGTGGGTAGAGGGCCTTTGGATGTTTCATTTCTCACGAGGCTCGTCAGGCTTGGAGAGAATGTCGAGTGCTCACGTGCGGAAGATAGGAGAGATTCCAGTGACGAGCGGAGCCAACTAGGCGGGATCAGGGAGCCACTGGAGCCACAGAGAGCCCACAGGGGGTCACAGGGAGGCCGGCGCCGGCCAATAGCAGCAGCGCTCAGTGACCCGGTTGACAAGAGTGCCGGACCAGGTGACCTTCAGTTGGCGCGGTGCGCGTCGAGCCGGTCGGTGCAGGCAAGCCAATTGACGGACTGTCCATGTCCGGACTGGACTCTGCAGCGGGAGGTGCATCTGCAATACGGAGTACTAGCACTACTCTCAGCGGTGGCTGCAGTTTGCTGGATGTACTCCGTCCCTACTGTGCCAGTTGACGATTGGAGTTGGTCGCAATCATGGTGTCGACCGGAGACAGTCTGTCGTCGTATCATGTGCTGGCGACTGACTGAAAGAAAGAGCTGTGCCAAAGCCGGCCTTCTCCCTTTTCTGCCCGTTCCTTTGCCTTTTCTTTTTTGTTTCTTTTTTTTTCTTGGTTAAGTTATGACATGGACAGCAAACAACGTAGGTACCTAGCCTACTTAGTAGGTACCTAAGTACTTAACTTAGACGTAGGCCCACACGCCAGTAAGTAGGTAGGTACTTAGTAGGTACTTAAGTAGGTAAGTACTAAGTAAGCCGCCAAGGAGGCCGCCATGGGCCCATGGCTGCACATGTGACGTGATGAACATTTAGATGGACGTTTGATGACAACGATAATAATAATCATCAATGGCACATGCTCATCACCGTGTCCACAATGTGTTTTGATCCCTCACCCTTGAACAATTGACACTTGCGCGCACAAGGAGCCAGGCGCCTTCCGCCCCTCGGCCATCCCTGCGCTGCCTGCCTGCCTGCCTGCCTGCCTGCCTGCCTGCCGCCTGCCGCCTGCCGCCCGCCTTCTGTGCGCGCCGCTGGCGCAACGGCACAGACACCGGTGTGCGTGTGCTGCAGCTGCAGCGCGTTGCCTCCTCCGCATCCGCCAGGCATCTTTGTCCCAAGCATCAACAGCATCACCGGCATCATCGTATCGTTCATTTATTACTATCCCATGCACCCCTTCTCCGCCGCGCAACATCAATCTGCATAGTGCAGTTCCGTCTCCTCCATCGCTAGACATCTGCACCTTGCGTGCTATTGCCGTCCTGCGGCCACTCATCCCGTCGGCTGGACGCACGTACAAAAAGCACACCCACCCGTTTTCCCTGTCCTTCTGATTTGCACCGCCGCATTCACGCTTCCGAGAAACCCCGTCGCCTTCATCGACCGTCCGCGCCATCTCTCATCCCACGCACGCCCTGCTTGCTACACCATCCAGCCGCCCAAATCGCCGACGCCTCGACCATCCTGCACCCGGTTTCTCGCCGCCGAGCTTGTGATGAGGCTGTCCACGCTCTCCAAATCGGCCAAGTAGCCTTCTCCTCTCCCCTTCCGCCCGCTTTGCCCTTTGCCGGCATTAAAAGCCCATACATGTTCCCGACGGCACGCCGAGCTGCTCGTGGTTCAACATGGATGCTAACGGTACATCTCCATCGTCTCAGCCCCCCCCGTGGCCGTCAACCGAGACTGCGGTGCCTTTGAGAGGCTCACTGTCTGGTGCCAATAAGCCCACGGGTCTATTCACCACCGCTCAGCAGTCACCACATTCTAACCTTCTTGTTGCTCAAGGTCCAACATCGCAACCTTCTGGCTCAATGCCGGCCTGGAATCCTGCAGCCTTGCTTCAACCAAGCCGTCGAGGCTTCAGCGCCACTGATTTGAGAAATCTTCCTTCCGGCCGTCCTCAGCCCATGTACAACAATCATGCGCCAAACGGCCACAGCAGAGCATCGCCGTCGGCGAATGACCAGATGGTCTTTCAGTTTACAAGTGCTAGTGACACTTCGTCCAACGGCCATGTCAGCGCGTCTTCCACCCCTACCCCTCCAAATGGTGAGACGTCCGCCTCCAATCCCAACGGCGTAGGGCTCTGGATTGAGCGCATGAATAACGTTCAGCGTCGTTCCAACGTCCCCCATCCGAAACGCCGCAAGACAGAGGACCCCCAAGACTTTGCTGCTAGAGCCAGCAACATGTCCATCCGAGGCAGCAGCGGCATGTTGGGCGACTACGTGAGAGACAGGCGGCAGGAGACTCACGGGAGCAGCCGGCTCCCCAAGGCGCAGGCGCCTACTGTAGATCTTACTAATGGTACGTTTACGTGCTTCCCTGCGTGCTTGTGTGTCGTGCAATCGTGTTGTTAACAAGCACTCTAGGCACAGATGATGAAGTCATGGTCCTTGATGATCCAAAGGATGAGGAGGTGTGCTATGGAATGATCAAAACCAGTCTCAACTGCAGCAAGGTGCCATCACCCAAGCCAGGAATGCAAAGCCTTTGGGGCCCCGGGTATAACCCTGGCATCAAGATATTACTGAAACGACAAAGTGGCGAAAGAACGTTGAAAATTCAGGCCTGTGACCACACTCGTGAAATCATCGGTCTTGTCGAGTCGTCGTGTGCCGCAGCGCTCACTCCTCTCCTTGACACAAATATCCGTTTGCGGACAGATTGCCGCATACCGCCCCATCAAAAGAACCCCGGCGAGGAGCCTGGGCAGGCAATCTCAAGAGCATACAACTTGGATGTAGTTCTCTATGGTCCCCAGAGGTACGCCAGGTCGGTTGGTGCCTTGCTGAGCAAGCACAACTTGAAGCTTATTGCCCCGCACATGGTGCAGAAGGGCATTAAAGTGCTCAATCCTCATGTCTCGGAATGGCGACCACCTCCGCCAAAGGTTTACCCAACCAACGCCCAAGGTACATTCACAAGCGTCGCCAACCGAACCGTGGAGGAGATTCGCTCCCAGGTCATGGGTGTTTTTGATTCTCTCAAGAGAAATGACGACCTCCCGACAATGGACCCAGATCTGCGAGTTCTCACGCCTCTACTTAAGCATCAGAAGCAAGGTCTTTACTTCATGGCCACCAGGGAGAAGTCGCTCCAGGTGCAGTCGACGGAAAAGGGCATGGTCTCATTTTGGCAGACCAAGGTAAATGCGAGAGGCGAGAAATTGTACACCAATGTCATCACTGGCCAAGAACAGAGAGCGCCACCACCAGAAACTTGCGGTGGCATCCTCGCCGACATGATGGGTCTTGGAAAAACGTTGAGTATCCTCTCCTTGGTCTCGAGCACCATAGATGAGTCTCACAAGTGGGAGAAAGCTCCCATCGTTCAACGGCCAAGAATGGACCCAAGACTGTCTAGCAATGGCCATTCTGCCATTCAGAATAACTTCGAGCCCGCCGCAGTCACTCGTCACGTCAAATCAACATTGATTGTGTGCCCGCTCAGCACTGTGACCAACTGGGAGGAGCAGATGAAACAACATATCGTTGCCGGCGGTCTTTCATACCACATCTACCATGGCTCCAATCGGATCAAGGACGTGAATAAACTTGCCGAATTCGATATTGTCATTACCACCTACGGATCCGTCTCCAACGAGCTAGGTTCTCGCCGCAAGGGAAAAGACGGCATTTATCCTCTGGAAGAAATTGGTTGGTTTCGAATCGTTCTTGACGAGGCACATATGATCCGCGAATCATCAACGCTTCAGTTCAAAGCCATGTGTCGGTTACAAGCCGAACGACGCTGGGCAGTGACAGGAACGCCTGTGCAAAACCGCCTAGATGACCTTGCCGCTCTGCTGAGCTTTTTGCGACTGCACCCATTTGATGATCGGTCCAAATTCAACCGCTACATCGTTGAACCTTTCAAGGCATGCGACCCCGAGATTGTGCCAAAGCTACGAGTCTTGGTCGACACAATCACCCTTCGTCGCCTAAAGGATAAGATCGATCTTCCCAAACGCGAAGACTTGGTTATCCGATTGAACTTCAGCCCCGATGAACGCTCCGTTTACGAATTGTTTGCGCGCAACGCCCAAGACCGGGTTAAGGTCCTGGCTGGTGTCAAGGATGGAAAAGCCCTAGGAGGAAATACATATATTCACATTTTGAAGGCCATTTTGAGACTACGACTTCTCTGCGCACACGGCAAAGACCTGCTGAATGAGGAGGATCTGGCTGCCCTACGTGGCATGTCAGCTGAGATGGCAATCGACATTGATGACGATGACGAAGATGGACCTGCTCTATCACACCAGAAAGCCCATGAAATGTTCTCTCTCATGCAGGACACAAACAACGATGCTTGTATCGAATGTAGTAAGAAGCTGAACGCTAACGAGGGCCAGAATCTCGATGCTGAACAGCAGGATGATATCCTTGGCTATATGACACCTTGCTTTCACGTGGTTTGCCGAAACTGTTGTCGAAACTATCGCGAACGAGCTCAACAGTTCCTCGCACCTGGCCAGAATACTGGCCCATGCTTGATTTGCGGTTCTCATGTCCGCCTGGAGTTTGTCGAGCTTCGCCGCGACGACGTGGATGCCGAGCACGACGGGCCTGCCAAATTGAAGGCCAAAGACACCAGGAAGAGGTTTGACAGATACGATGGCCCACACACAAAGACCAAGGCACTCGTTGAAGATCTCTTAAAGTCCAAGACCGCCAGTCAAGCAAACCCGGATGAGCCCCCTTTCAAATCAGTAGTTTTCTCGGGGTGGACGTCCCACCTTGACCTTATAGAACTGGCCCTCAATGCTGCAGGCATCACTTTCGTACGGCTGGATGGCAGCATGACCCGAATCGCACGAACCACCGCCATGGAGAAATTCCGCGAAGACAGCACCGTGGAAGTTATCCTTGTGTCGATTATGGCGGGCGGTCTTGGTCTCAATTTGACGGCTGGCAACAACGTCTACGTCATGGAGCCGCAGTACAATCCCGCCGCGGAAGCCCAAGCCATAGATCGAGTTCACCGCCTGGGACAGAAACGGCCCGTCCGAGCGGTGCGATACATTATGCAGGATAGCTTTGAGGAGAAGATGCTTGAGCTGCAAGAGAAGAAGATGAAGCTAGCTAGTCTCAGCATGGACGGCCAGAGCAAGGCGTTAGACAAGGCCGAGGCCGCGAGACAGAAGCTGATGGATTTACGCAGCCTGTTCAAGTAGGAGTCGAGCTTCCGACGAAGATTTAGAAGAAAAAATTGGGGACAAGAACGCTGCAAAATAATCTCGGAAAGACTTGAGCTATTTTATTTCCCTTGGGTTGGGTTATTCAGCGTGGGGTATTTGGTTTGTTCTTTTGGTGTTTTTTTTTTTTTTTCGATATACCAAGACTTGATGATCATGAACTCTTACGAACCGGGAGGGATCCATACTTTCTGCCAAGCAAAAGGTAGCGATGAGAACTAAAGCAGCATGTGGCGTTTTGGGCTATATAGCATTGGGCTGTGAGCTTTGATTTACTGTTTTGTCGCTCTTCTTTTTCAGACTTGCGTTCCTAGGGGCCGAGCGGCAGTTTCCTTTTTGATATTTCCTTCTACAGTAGGCGCTCTCGCGAGGTATTGCGAACCATGGTGGCGTTGGGCATCGGGAACTGATGATGAACAGATTGACTCTCCTATACACTAGAGTGAATATCACCATTCGCCTCATGTTCATTAACTTCATTTGCCTACATAGCCGTGTATGCAATCGTTCGTTCCACGTTGGCAGCGATCTTTGTCTTCAACGTCATCCAATATCCTCGTCCTGTCCGCGTCCCGCGAATTCTGTCCCTTGGTTCGCAGTACTCAGTCTCGCACAGAGACTCAGCAAAACCACCGTCTCTGTGGCAGCATAGAAATTCAACGCGTCCAGTAGGATCTGCAAGTGTCTACTGAAATTACTCTCCCACTTCTTAATAATCTCGGACAAGTTATTCACGCGAGACTCGGCGTCGCCCAGCGCGGATGAAGAATCCGGCTGCGAGCGGGACGGAGCCTTTGTTGCCTGGAAGCGTTTCCACTGGTCAGCCGTCATGGTCTTGGGTTTCGTCGTGCAGGACAGGTCGGGGTCGGATTTCTCAAGTTCCTGCGTGAGCCACTTTGTGTAGGCGGCGAAGATGGTGCACGTCTGCATTAGTTTGGAATGGATCTAGACACGGTCGTCAGAGCAACCCTGACGGGAAGAGAGGCGGGAAACAGGAGGCAAGGGGGGAGGGACGGTACCCTGAGGAGTTTGCTATTGGTGAGCATGCACTCCTTGAGACAGGTATCCAGGAAGTCGACGTGGTCCTGCATCAGCTCGTCGACGGTGCGAGTCGGCTCAGACGGTTTCGTTGCATCGCCGTCTTTGGTGCTCAGCCGCGACATGAACTTGGTCCAGTTGGGTTCAATGACCTCGGCGGTGCAGAAATACAGCAATTGCTGGACGAACACGAGCATTCGGGCTCTCAGAGTCCATGCGCGACGTTTCCATATCTCAAGCGCGCGGTTCTGACCCTTGTGCGCCCAGCTTACGCCGCGCGTTTGCGTCTGCCACGTCGTGGAGAGTTGTGATTCCAGGTATCGAAGAGACAGGAGATATCGGAACAGCGATTGGTATCGCCAGATTGTCCTCCTGCTAATGACGAGAGACACGGGGAACGGGACAGAGTAGTCGATTTGGAGAGATGTAAACCCGGTGGCGTTTTTGTCCTTTTCAATGTGTTGATTGGAAACGGGTTGGAGCGGTTCGCCCTGCTCGATGCCCCTGATGTTGACGACGCGTTGTAATGATTTGATGAGTGTGACGTCATTCATTTCAACCTTGACGTCTTCCTTGAACGGATCCAAGGACACGATGCTGCCAGGTTGGCGGAGCACCAGATCCAGGAGGGACTGCAGTTTACTCGTATTGACGTTCTTGACCGGCTTGCGCAATTCGGATGAGCCGAGTTCGAGAAAGTAGGAGAAGTAGTCGGAGGGGTCGAGGAAGAAGTAGTACTTCAGGGACTGTAGTCGGGCAGGTAGGGCGTGTGTCGTAAGCAGCAGCTGCATCAGAGACTTGTTGGCGTGGGCATACGCGTTGTTGACATTTTCCAGGAAGCGAGGATCGTCAAATGTTGTCGGCACGTCGGTGACAAGCTTGCTCGCGGCGGCGCCTCCGCACTCACGCACGACATTGAGGTATTTGCCAGCCAGCAGGACCTTTTCCTTGACACCTTGGAGTTGCGGCGGGACGTCCTTGTCGCGGATGGTATATCTTCTATCCCAGTATTCATCCGTGTAGTCCTCATACAGCCTCTCTCGATTGATGCTCCTTCGTTCTTCAATGACAAACTCAGAGTGCGGATCGTAGATGCTCCCGTGATGTAGCCACTCGTTGAGCATGACCATGTAGGGGCGGCTGGCGTCTCGTAGCAGCGACGTGAGCAGAGCTCTGGCTGCGGGATCCCCAGACATCCTTTCGAGTCGCGTTGTTACCAGGCCAAGGACGACGCCACCTTTGCAAACTTTCTTGGTCGTCATGTTTCCGGGTATAAGCTCGCCTCCTTCTCTTAAGCGCTCAATCATGGCGTCGTCATTTTCAATCTCGTCATCATCCTCATCCTCAGTCTCGTCGTCTAGGATGCCATTCTTCTTCAGTAATTCATGCGCCAGTAAATAGAGCTGATGCATCATCTGACTCGTCGGCAGGGTATGGATATTCAGCACGTGAACCGTAAATGACTCGCTTGTGAGGAACTGTGTCTCTAATTGTGCAATCATGACAAGATAGTCCTGCAAAAACTTTCGTATCGACGCGCACAGGGCATGGTTCACGGCGCCGAACTCAACGCGACTCTGCACGTCAACGAATGCCTGCAGGGCCGAGTAATAGGTCGCCATCTTGAGCATAGAGCGAGTCAGGTCGGCCAGACTCGGATCCAGCCCGGGTGATATCTTGAAGCTCGGCCCAGTAAGACGATCTCGTTCCTCGGTTGGATCATATCCCTTGGCGAAGCGAATGTACTGTCCCTCGTAGCCCATGAACACGAACAGCAAGTCTTCAACAATAGCTGCCTCTTGTATTTCAAGAGACAGCTCATTCAAGGATTTCGGCTGCGGTGCCTGCGGAACCGCCGAGGCCATGGGGGGGTTCGATATTCGCGAGGCCAACGGGGCAGAAGTATGCGGTAACAGGGTCGCTTCTGGATTCCAAGGAGCTGTTGGCCGCGTCAGAATTTCCCGTACTTCTACGCGCATGCACTGGAAGTGAAAAGAGGCCATACCTTCTGGGGCATCTGACGGGGAATCCCGGGGCCGAAACTCGGCAGACTTCTGCCTCTTCAATTCCGCCGTCGCACTTGGCCTGTGCTGCTTCTCTGGGCTAGGATTCCTCTTCAATATCCTGTCGACGTGCACCTCAAAGGTCCTTTCCGTAATTCGTCGCTCTTCGTATCTTCTCTCCTCGGTAGATGTTGATCTGTTGACGGGTCTGGGATTCCCCGACGCGGTTCTCTTATGAGCCATGCCAGGATACTGCGCCTCGGAGTGAGAGGCTTCGGACGCCCTCGGATCTGGTCGTTCGCTCTTGAAGCTTCCGTTGGGCACGGAATTGCGCATACGATCGTCTGCATAGCTGTGTGCGCGGCCAGACGCTCTCCCTGTCCCAGAAGCCATGTTGGCTGGCGGGCTACATTTGCGGCCACGCGATCCGGTTCGCTACTTTTTATTTCGTCTTCGTCCGCAATGCCCAGCAGTTGAATTGGAAGATGGGAGAGTGATGATGGCCTGTCGTCTACTTGATGATGCCCACCTTCACCAGCCCGTCCAACGTTGGTCAAACGTGGGGTTCAGGCGCGACGAGGCACCGGTTGACGCGTCGTGCAGCTTGTCTTGTCCGGATCAACTCCGGCCCTGTGACGCCAGCTGACGGCCGTCTGAACGGACCGGTAGTTACCAAGTACAGACGACGCTGCGTAGGCCCAGTGCTTGCCTAAGTAAGTACTTTAGGTAGTATCTACACTCCACTCCGTACCTGACAGCTCGATGCAGCTTCCCAAGTTCCAACCATCGTCAACCTCAGTCACTCCATTGCGCCTCCGTCACTGCTCTCTTCGCGTCTGCGTCTGCGCCCGCGCCCGCGTCCATCATCTCCTCACCTCCAGCACCCAGACCAAACAAACACCTGGTGGCTTTCGTAGCCCGATCCCCAACCACCAACCGTCAACATGTTCATGGCAAGGTCGGAATATGGTACGCCCCCAGCTCCCCGCCGCCCAACTCACGTTCCGTCCCCTTCGGTCCCGTTGCCTCGCTAAGAACCCCCCTCGATAAATAACAGACCGGGGCATCAACACCTTCTCCCCGGAAGGCCGCCTCTTCCAAGTCGAATACTCCCTCGAAGCCATCAAGCTGGGCTCCACCGCCATCGGCGTAGCCACCTCGGAAGGTGTCATCCTCGGTGTCGAGAAGAGGGTCACCTCGACGCTCCTCGAAACCTCGTCCGTCGAGAAGATTGTCGAGATTGACCGCCACATCGGCTGCGCCATGTCCGGCCTGCAGGCCGACGCTCGCTCCATGGTGGAGCACGCCCGAGTCGAATGCCAGAGCCACGCCTTCAACTACAACGAGCCCCTGGGCGTCGAGAGCTGCACCCAGGCCATTTGCGACCTTGCCCTGCGCTTCGGCGAGGGCGCCGACGGAGAGGAGACAATCATGAGCAGGCCCTTTGGTGTCGCCCTGCTGATTGCTGGTTTCGACGAGCAAGGACCCCAGTTGTTCCACGCCGAGCCGAGCGGAACCTTCTACCGCTACGACGCCAAGGCTATTGGGTCCGGCTCGGAAGGTGCTCAAGCAGAACTCCAGAATGAATATCACAAGGTGAGCGTGCCCGAGCGAGTCTCCTGCTTTTCCTTTGCCTGGAGGGGCAAGTCCGACAAGTACTAACCAAGACGACACCAGTCCCTCACAATCACAGACGCCGAAACTTTGGTCCTAAAAACGCTGAAGCAGGTGATGGAGGAGAAACTGGATGCCAAGAATGTCCAGCTGGCCAGTGTTACCAAGGAAAAGGGCTTCAGAATATATACCGATGAGGAGATGGCGGCCGTTGTGGAGAGGCTCCCTGCCAACTGAACTAAACAGGTCCATGGGGCTACGTACTGCAACTGTAATTTAAACCCTGAGGAATAGAGATGAAGCATCGCCCCTGCACATGACGTCTCCATGTAAAAGAACGCAAGAGACTGTAGTAGAAGTTACGCAATGGGCAACCAAACGCACATATCGGATTCTTAAATGAGGACACCACGTTGATCCAAGTTGGAATGGACACTCTGCTCATACAAATCTCGTGCGGCTTGCATCTATTCAACTTGACAGCCTTGATGATGGACAAATCGCTTCCTGCTGGCTTGCTGGCTTGCGGGGCGCCAAAAAGTGTGTCAATGGCTTCCTCTTCCGCCGTATGTAATGAAGAAAGACATGCGCTGTGATGCTGCGATGCGCCGCGTGTGTGTCACTTAGGTACAAGGCTGTGTGTGGGCTGTGGTGTTTGTCGTAAGGCGGCGTGCAAGAAATTTAGCTTGACTGATATCGCAAGAACTATACAGGGAAACACTTTTTCACTAGACTTGCTCGATATTCTCATTTAGGAATCCGACACGTGCCTTCAGTTGCCCCTACGGTACGCAAGCTCATGTTATGTATCATTAATGTAAGGTATTGCCTAACGATGGCGCCAGACACGATTACATCCCTCATCGCGCTCTTGGTCCCGTTCTTTGTCCTTTCGCCAATGATGCAGAGCCATCACCCGAGACAAGAAAAATAATGCCTCTTACTACCCGGGGACGAAACGCCAGTCCATGCCCCCATACCTCAACACCCCAAGGACCAAACATGATGCAGAAACCTGATTCTTTTGATTAGAAAAATTACCTGTCCTCCCTTAGATCTAGCACCTCCAAGTCTGTCTCTACCCCGAGCAAGCCTAGAGCTAGATTGGTTTGCTCAGACCGATGGAGCACTAGTCTCGTTTCCGTGGTGTTTTGCATATCCTGGATCCTCTGGTCCAGTTTGCGAGGATTCATCCATATAGATACGGGCACCTCTTCCAAGTGTTGCGGCCTCTTATACTCTGGCCCATGGCCCAACTGCGCGACCTTGATCCATGCCGACTCACATCCAATGGCAATTTTTCTAGCGGTTTGCCACCCAGTCAGTCGAGCAATATCAAAAACACGCTGGATAACCCAGCAGCGCTGATTGTTATCTTGCAACTGTTCAAAAGTTAGCAAGGGGTAGGACCGCAAACCACGTCTACTCTTTGTTTACCTGTACTGCTGCCACAAAGAGGCAGAAGCTGCTCTCAATGAGAGCAGCCGCTAGCGTCGTGCTAATATCTTTCTTTGTAGAACAGTTGTCCGTGAGCCCGGCCGCGATACGGCCAATTTGGATTGCATACCCGGCAGTAGACGGCGCCGCCATTCCTGCAGCCTGCATGGCCGCTGGCGGCATGTTGGGCCGACTTCGGTACAAGTGAATAAGACCCATGTAGTAATTCATCCAAATGCCTGCAACCGAATAGGTGCGGTAATGGAGTGCTGTACCAAAGGGTGTGTCTTTGTGATCGGCATATTCGCTGTTCAACGGCTTAAAACGGGCGTCGAGACGGCTCTCAAACGTCTCGAATGCCTGGCGAATACTCTCCCATTCCTGCTCAGCCAGCTCGTTGCTTTCAGGAGTTGCTGTATCACCTGGGGAATCAGAATCATCTGAATAGGACGATTGTGCCGAAAACCCTATTGGGGCGTGAAATTTCCCCAAAGTAGGTACAATTCCAGGAAACTGGGATGGAGATGATCCTCCCCTAAAGGATCCACCACCTTTTGCTCGAAATACCTTTCTTTTTCTCGACAAGTCTTTTGATGTAAAGCTCGCCAGACGACCAAGGAGTAGAATAAGATGATCATAAGTCCCAAAGCTTTTGTTTGAAATTCATTAGAGAAGACCGGGCAACTCGCGGGAAATGGGTAAACGGGGTCATCTTACATGGAGTTAGTGCTGGACACGGGAGCTCGCGGAGGGCATTGTGTCCAGTGTTCATACTCCATACTGCCGATCAGGTTAGAAGACAAGCAGGCCGCCCACAATGTCGGGGAGCCCATCTTACAATAGTTTAGTCCCACCAAGCATGCTTTGGTACACATCCATTTTGGCGTACCACCAAAAGAGGTCTCGCAGCGTATCGTAAGTCTCTATGTCTTTGTCGGTGGTCCATAGGCACTCCTCGTCCAGGAGTTGGCCTTCTTGAAGTCCGTAGTCCTCGGCCGTGACACGACGGCCGGTAATGGTGCTCAGGAGCCCATAATCAAGGTCAGCGGGATCCCTCCGCGGTCCAATGGAGGGTGTCGCTGAGAGTGGGCTTGGAAAGTGCCTCATTCGCTTGACTGGAAGACAAATGCGCGACATTTGTCGGAGAGGTATTTGTCGAAACAAAAGCCTTCCGCCAAGAAGATGGTTACACCACTTGGTATGATCCGATGACCAAACCTCAAAGTAAGCCAACAGCAACGTGGTTGCCACGGTAGTCGGCTTAGTGTTTATCTGTGGGCTGCTGACGTTCCTCGCATTTCGACGAAGAGAAATGTGGTAGTGCCTTAACGCTGCTGTGGCCGGAGTGTTTTGGAGATTTGCAATTTGTAAACTTGCAATGGCCATGATGGCGTGGAATAGACCAGGATGATGGAAGGACAGTAAAGGAAACGTATCTGGAAAGTATTAGAGTGGCTGTGTAGCGACGGCATCGTCCTCACGGATGGTTTCTGGGTGCGAGTGATGATAGCACTTACGGCTCCACAAGTTGTTATCTAGAGTAGCGTCGCCATCGAATCGCGCTCCAGAAGTGAGCGAGGTTGGATCTCTCTCGTACAGTGACATGGTAGGACCGGTGACACTGACAAAATGCCGGAAGATAGTTTGCATGTCATGCCGCCGCAACTCGGAGGAATGAACATAGTCCATGTACTCCGATAGGGCATAGTTTTGTGCAAATGCCGAAAAGGTTCTGACTTCGGTACCTCCTCTGGCGTACGGTTTCAAGACGTCTCTATAATCTCGCACAACAAGGGACTGTGGGTCGGGGTTTTCATCGTCAGATTCGTCCATGGCAACCTCATCTTCTATAACTCCATGTCCATACTGGGTCCGGTCAGGCGGTCCATAACCCTGGCTGGGGGGCAGGTCCTGTTCAAAGGGGGCACCAAGCTGTTCCACTCTCGAGGTTTGCTCTTGACCGAGAGCATCGGGTGGAATCTCGCCATGACTAGATGCCATATAATAACTGTGGGTGAGGTGAGCAGCGTCCGGTCCTAGCAGAGGGTTTGGGATTGGAGGATAGTTTGATAGCGAACTGTGGCTCGAGTGAGCTTGGGCAAACGACACAGGTTGCCTGTGACTGCCATTGAAAATCGCCGGTCTCGGTGCAATCGGCTGCAGAGAATTTTGAGAGCTGGCCTGATTTGAGTGAAGTCCGACGGATGCGCCTTGGTGTCGAGTACCAGGCGGATAGATGGCAGGTCCAAAGTGGCCATGAGTTGTACCTAGATTCGCAGGGTCCTTGAAGACAACACGCTGCGTATATCCTTCACATGGACGTTTGGACTTGATACAGTTCTTGCATCTTGGCTTGGTTTCGTCGCACTTGATTCGCCTCTTTCGGCAAGCTATTGGGTGAAGTCGGGCAGTTAGACAAAGAGCTACATGTTGTGGACAAAAGGAGGGGGGGGGAAAGGGCGGAGGGGACGCACTCAGGCATCCTGTTTTGGTCCTCTTTTTGACTGCTGGCTTCTTTCCCTTGGCATCGTCTTCCGCACCAGAATTCTGCGGTTGAGCTGGAGCTGAGCTGGGTTGAGATTGTTTGCTGTTGGGCTGCATACTGCCACCATCTGCCATCATGGACGGTCCGCAAGTCAAAGAAGGCAAGTCGGCAGGAGGTCGATCTGACTTCAAAGGTGACTAGTGCATATATGCACTTACATGATGCGTTCCTTTTGCATGAAAGTAGACGAGTCAATTTTAATTTTCAAATTGCCTCTGGATTCGAGATTGGGGCTGCAGCGCTGGGCCAAACAGCCAGTGTTGGTTGACGACAAAGTGAGTCTCGTGTGTGCTGCTGCAAAGCAAGTCGAGAAAAGTTGTAAACACACGATTGTCATGAAGGCAATAAAGATACAGCTCCGGAGCTAGGCTCAAGGAGTAGGATATTCGGCCAAGCTCTCAAGTAATAGGGAAAAGAAATCCGAGGAAGAGAACTGCTGAAGAGCGTGAAACGTCTTCGGTGTAACACGAGTACAGACGGACAGAAAGGCGGTAGATCCGAGGGGGAACCTAGGCAGCTGGGATTGTCTGGGTTTGGGGCGGGACAAAGATGGCGAGATGCGACGGGTAACGAGTCGATGATGGCCAAGGTGTAGGGACTGGCGTCGACAAAACAAAGACAGCCAGACTCTCAAAAGAGAGTTGACGAGTTCAGTCAGGACAGCCGAGGCACTTGATGCCCCTCTTTCTTCCCCCCACGATCTTTGGTCCAGTTCTCCGTCTGGGCAGGAAGGTGGCAGGCAGGCCGTTGTAGATTCTGGCAACGGCGTGGCAAATCTGGTCAAACTAAATCTTCACCTTGTTGAATTGTCGATACGGGTTTACTATTAGCAAGCCAGATACTTCCGATGGCATGGTGAGGTCTTGCGGCAACACACGCGTCGTGCAGGCGGATGCAGGGAAAAGGCGAGAATGGAAGGGCGCCGGGACCTTTCGACGGGGCCGTACGTATCCTTGTCAGTGTTGTAGAAAAAGCGAGGCCGATCCCAAATACCGGGACTCGCAGGATTATCAAGGGGAGAAGCTAGATGTTGCGCCGTCGAGTGTGCACCAGGAACTTGGAGACGAGGACGAGCAGATGGAGCAGCGAGACCTTGACAAGGAGTCGACCAGACAGGCAGAATGGAAGAGTCTTGAGGCAACATTCAGCTCTGGAGGGCGGGAAGGAAGAACTGACAGGACAGGGTGCTTCAATGTTCAAATGTTGGTCCAACCAGACATGGACGTTGCAAGTCCACCCAAACTTTCAAAGTCCTTGTCCTTGGCCCCCCCCCCCAGCGCCAGCATTCCCAGTGGTCACCAATAAAGCCGTCATCGCCCAGGGGCTCGAGACGGGGCTTCCGTAGCCGACGCCCGTCGTGCACTGGAGCCCCTCGACGTCGGGGCCATGGCGCCAAACAGTCAACGGTGATGCCATGCCAATTGATGCCATGCCGTGAGATGCGTTGCCATGTCGGATGCAGATGCTCGCACACTCCGTGCATGCCCAAGTCCACGTTCGCAGAGTCCTTGATCGCCAGTCGACTGAGGCTTGACTCCGTCGTGATTAAGAGCTAAAGTAACGTAAAACGACTCAGTACTAGTGCGTGCGATTGGTGTTTGCCATGCTCTGGCGGGGGAAACGTTCAACGGTCCAAGGTCAAGCAAGGGCTGGTGGTACTCAGCGGCTCGGGGGGCCTCCAGGTGCAAGTTCAAGTTCCCAGGCCTTGTCACTGGAACTCGGCCGCGAGGGCCTTGACCAGCACCGAGTAGCAACGGGCAGCTAGGCCGCCTACGGGATGCCCTCCGTACCAGCACTGGGTCAACCAAACAGAGGGCAGACCAGACCAGACCAGTTGGCCGTCGTACTGCATGTGTGGCTTGCTTGCTTGCCTGCTCACCAGCGGCACTTACGGCGCCCCAGGGCTCTGGATGGAAGCGCAACACCGACCACCGACCAGACTTGACCGTTCGAGTCAAGTGCTGCTACACAAACCAGTTGACGCTGACTGGCTGCAGAGCCATGTCAGGGTCCCGAAGCCCCCATGTCAGACCGGGCTCGACTGTCACCTGCAAGCAAGCACGGCTCGCTGGGAAACCCAGGCGGCTGGCAGCAAATGCAGGAGGGAACATGAGTGATGAGGTTGCTGCACATTTCAGTGCCTGGTACTTAAAGTATGTATGTACATCCATACAGCATCTACGGGTCTCGGCACGAAGCATCGACATGGCGCCTCCGTGTCGATGTACATGCAATACGGCCAACTACAGTACCTACTTAGGTACCCGTATATGTTTCGATAATCTGGTGGCTACAATGTCAGAACAAAGCTAGCAGTCGAGAATAGAGAATGCGTGTGCCTGTAGGTACCTAGGTACTTACTTTATGAGGTAAGTAAAGTACAAGTAACCAACTTACTTAAAGTACTCAGGTACGGAGCACTTGGGCTGCCTACCACTGGAGGAGGGATCCATCACGGGTGGCGTGGTGTCGCACAAATCAGAAGCTGCAAAACCGAACCATGTCGACATGTGTTCGGAGTGCAACCGGCCATGTGCCGCACAGAGGTCAAAGTCCATGTACATATATATGTACGGAGTACTCCGTATGCCGCGTGCTTACTGGTCTCTGCACCCTGGCTCAAGTTGGCGGACAAACTGGCCCCAAACTTTTCGCTGGGCCGGCCCTCTTGCCCCCCCTGTGCCTGGCCCTGCCGACAAGCACGGACGATCGTACACCTACCGAGTGACAAGTACGGAACTTGGGGTCAAGCACCGATGGCGCCCGTCCACTGGGGCGCTTTCCGAGTTCCCATGGGCGTGCGCACTCGGTGGACAAGGAAAACGCGGCCAGACTGCCGAGTGCGTGCCCCGTACAGCAAACTGCTCGGCTCCTTGGCAAGGCAAACCGCCCCCCCCCCCAAAATTATCGTCGAGTGGTTTGTTCCTTTGTTTCCCATCATGCCAGTCTGTAAATAGTGGTATGCTGGTGCCCGAGGGTGCTGCACCGCCATGGGTCCGAGTCGACCACGCAGAGGACAGTACGTACATGCACAGAGTCTGGCCGAATTTAAATAGATTGTCGAGCTGTCAACTGAACTGGTCTTCTGCATGGAGCAAACAAGACGAATCAATGCCCATGACGAGTGGCAGCGCCTCATTCCTGCATGCTGTTGGCCGCGCGGAGATGCTCCGTTGGATAGACATCCACGGCCGTTTTCCGGTGGGCAGGACAGGCCGGCGGTCCGAATCGTCCCAGTTGACCTCTTTGTTTGGCAATTCCAGCAAACCTGATCCATGCCCGCTGTCAGCAGTCACAGAGAAGACCGAGTTGTAACTCCGCCGGTGGACGTGAGCTGGCTGGCAATCGACCCCCCTTCAAGCCTCCATCCCAACGGTTGACGGAGTGGGCGGATACTGTAGCCATATCCAATCTGCCTTGTATGGCGATTGAAAAATCCAAGGCGAGTCGAATAAGAAAAATACGGAATAGTTAGCAAATTGCAATCATCCACCAGACTGCTCGAAGGCGATCCCACCTGCTGACTCTACAAACCTGGCGTCCCTGACTTTGACTTACAAGTTACCTTGCGTGAAGACTGGTTACGTGCCGACCACCCAACATATGTTGAGTGGCTTGTCCACTTACTGGTAATTTCGTCACTGACGGGTTATGGTAATTAGATTCAGGATCCAAGACACACTGAGTGTCTCCATTGAACATGTCAAGTGCGCAGCACCAAGCGTTTCTTGAAGCTTCTCGCCGAAAGACGCAGAGCCTAGAACGCAGCAAGAAGGGCCTACGCCTCGCTCCTTCCGCTTCTGTTGCAAGGCTAACTGTCCTGACTCCTCATCCTGAGTCCTGGCACAAGGGACAAGCATGTACCTTCGTCTTTCCAAAGCCTCGCTTGCCCTCATCACAGCGCTGGCGAGCCTCGTGGCGCCAACTTACATCAGTCGATGCCATTCCTCTCTCTGCGCGCGCAGGCGCCCAGTTGGACGCCGTTATACCAGTGTCAACGCAAAGCTTCTTCTATGTGGATGCAACTGACGCTCGGCCTGTGGCCCGCACCGAGAACACTCCGAGTAATGACAGCATAATACTAGCGTCACGACAAAAGATGCCTGCCTAGGTTGGCAGTCTTTTGCAGATGCACAAAGTAAAAAGTAGGGCGGAGATGCAAGACCCATACCACCACGTTTTCCCCCAAATTACTACCATCCAAACTCGCCGCCGTGCTAACATTCGATACGCCAGGCGCCATGGATCCAGATGTTCTGCATCCCTTGCACCGTTAGCAGCATCCAATCATGGCCATCAAGCTCGAATATTAGGTCTTCTGTCCTACCCAAACTACCGCACTTCCCATGTCACAACAGCTTGTCCTGCTCAACCGCGAACCTCTGCTACAGCCTACAAGCACCGAAACACATACGATATGCAAGCCAGTCTTTCTCCACCATGGGAAGTACTAGTCCGACGTGATACCAACCTTTGCAGCCTGTACTCGGCCAGCAAACCGAAGTCCCAACATGGGAGCAGCAAAGACGCTCGCCCTCCCCAACGTGGGCTCATGGGGCATGATATGTCTCAATGAGCCCAAGGGACATCGTTCTACATGTGCTGGCTTGTTGCATGCAATATTGCCTCCTCGAAGAATTTTTCTATACTTGACTTGCTCTCTCAGGTTCTGGGGATTTTGGGCAAATGAGCGCGTGAGACAACTGACTTGAGACCAGGAAACACTAACGTGTTACAAAGGGCAAAATTGCCTGTTGGTAGACACGTATATTATGATACAGCCAGGCTAGTATCGTAGAATGTGCGACGGTTACATCCTGACAACAGCCTCTGATCTGAACACGATATGCACGACAGTATCGAGAACAAATCTCAAGCTAGTCAACAGGGGCATTCACTGGGCCCCTGATCTGTCGTAACCGCTAACCAGTTCCCAAGACCCTCTCGATATAGAGCGCGGTGTCCTTTTTCTGTACTCGGCTCCAGTCACGACGGAGCAGGGTGCGTGCTTCAGACATGACCTGGGGGCAGGTGGACACGGGAAGCTAAGCAGGCATAACTCGAGCGGACTTGTATACATGTTTTGACGAGGACGATATTTTCTAATGTCTTCTCAAACACCGTTGACTCACTGACATTCCAGAAGGCTATATTTACTCCCGTTTCTTTAATTTCCGTCCAGTCAGGAGGGGGCAGTAGGAGTATGTTGAGGCTCCAGCTGCTATCTAGTTATCACTGATGATTAGGACTCCGTTTTCTTCTTTCGCTCCTACCATTCTCTCCTTTGCGTTTCAAGATGACATCTTGTGTCTCTAGGTGCCTTAAATTATCGCCAAACTAGAAATTTAGACCAGAAACAATGGAGCAAATGCCATCGGGTTCCGGTCCGCAGTGTCAAGCATCTCACAATATATGCGAACCCTTTTGGCAGATCACCTTCCCCGCAAGACGATGCAACCTTGCAAGAGAACTTCCCATGAGCCAAGTTGGCCCATGAGAAAAAGACGTTTCTCGGGGTATCTCGATAGTCTCAAGCAGTGACTGGAGAGTGACCGTGGCACAAGCCACTAGAGGTTCCCCTTCCGCTCTCAGCAAGATTCACTTGAAATCTCTCCCAAGTCTTGCGACGGGGGTACATAAGCAGAGAGACATGGATGAGCTCATCGACAAGCTCGGTGCCTAGTACCTACCATGGTAGGTAGGTAAAGCACGGGAAAATACTCGACGACCTTCTGCCATTACTCCAGCCACGGCCGTTAAACAGCACCATGCACTCCCAACTCACAGCTGAAATGCAAACAGGCGTGGCACATTGGTCTCAAACTCAGTCAACTCTGTTCTGCGTCCAAATGCTTTTTGGGGGGCACAAAACCTTAAGATTTGTCGCACCGCATACATACTGGCTAGGCAACTAACATGGTACAAGATCTTCCCCTTCGGTTTTGTTCTCATGGTTTAGCGGGAACTCTAAGTCGCGTTTCCAGCCAAATAGCCGGATATTGTTGCCGTGGCCAAAATCCGTCCTCAAGCGCTCCGTAATACGGCCCTGCCTAAGGGTTGCGAGGCAATTTGGCATCCTTGGCGCCGAGAGTACTACCATGCATCAGCTACTAATCAGTGTTACCACTCACGTCAGGCTGCCTACGTAGTCACTCCTACGCGATCTGACCTGCGAGTAGCCTTGATTCCGGGCCGGGACACAATGAGACCACTGTTTCCGAACTGCCGGGTCTGAGCTGTCGTGGGACTCAGAGCCGTTTTTGCCCATGTCCAATTCTCTCATTCTCGTGCGTCGTCGGCTTTTGTGCAGTTCATTTTTCTGGGATATGTATGTATCCGGCCCCGAATCCGCGGCCACGGTTCAGGTGCAGCTTGTTGGGCGTCTCAGTTGGCGAGATGAAAATGAAGGCCGTGGCAGGCGGCAGATGTAGCTGAAAGGCCCTGCCTTGCATTGACCCAAAGACTGTCTTGCACCATGGTATTTGGTTTGCCAACACATTTGACTGAAGCTGTGAATCCCAGCGCTCTGGTTCACACCAACATCTTCCAAGTTGGTCGGGGCCGGATCCAGGGCGTGTAACGCTCACACGGAGATGCAGCACGCCGACGAGCATCGTGCACTCTGCAAGACGATCTCCTGCCCTTGGGATACGGAAATTTTCCACCTTGTGATGCGAAGTTCTCAGGCGAAGTTGCCGTTGATGATCTGGGTTTGTCCTCCCGTCCATTGATAGATTGCGGTTGATTGGGGATGCATCAGGCCGCGTCAAAGATCTACTACGATGTCAGAGGCTACAAATGCCCAAGTATTAGTTATTGCCTCCCACGGTGCGTGCCGTTTTTTATGGGCACTTCGTAGTTGCCCGTTAGGTTAGTTGGATAAGGAATGCACGGACCACATTCCGCCGATAAGATGTTACGACCCACCAAAAAACAATGTCAATTCTTCCCACACAGCTACATATGACTGTAAATGAGCGTGTCGTTTGAATAAATTGTACCAAAACTCGTGCTCTTTACTTTCCAACATTGCCTTTGAATACTTTTCTAGCAAGACAAGGGTGACAGGCAGTCAGGCAAGAAAAAAAATGTTCGCTGTGCCCGGCTGGTCCGTTTCCGCGGACGCACTCAAGTCCGAGACAGCCTCTGCCCGCGGGCCGTCAAGCACAAAATCCAAAAAGCGCAAGAGGTGCAACAACAACTCCCGCGTCGAATCGCAAAGCATCACCTCTGCCAATGTAGCAGAGTTATACGAAGCGGTTGTAGAGGGCAAAACAAAGCCCCCCTCCAGCAACCAAGACAGCAAGGACAGCGCCAATTCCGCAAAGCGTGCAAAAAAGGACAGGAAGACGACCAATGCAGCCGACCGAGACGGTCAACGCAAGAGCAGCAGACGGGACAAGAAAACGGACAACAAGGACAAGGACCAACGCGCGAAACCCGCCAGCGAGACTCAGCAGTCCGGGCCGTCCAAGACGTCATCGCCAAACCCCGCCAAACCAGGCACCACCGGCACAGCGACCGCTCTCGCGCAAACATCCCTCCCGCCGGCGACCTCGAAACTGACTCCCCTCCAAGCCTCCATGCGGGAGAAGCTCATATCCGCACGCTTCCGCCACCTCAACGAAACGCTGTACACACGGCCGTCAGGAGAGTCGTTCACGCTCTTCCAGGACTCGCCCGAGATGTTCGCCGAGTACCACGAGGGCTTCCGCCGGCAGGTCAAGGTGTGGCCCGAGAACCCCGTCGACAGCTTCCTGTCCGACATCCGCAGCAGGGCGAGGGCCAAACCCGCCGCCAAGGGAAGGCCGGGACCCCCGCCCTCCCGGCGGAGCAAGATGCCTCTCCCCCGGACCACGGGCACATGCACCATCGCGGACCTGGGCTGCGGCGACGCCCGGCTCGCCGAGGCGCTGCAGGGCGACAAGTCGAGACTGCGGCTGGACGTCAAGAGCTTCGACTTGCAGTCGCCCAGTGCGCTGGTCACGAGGGCGGACATCGCCAACCTGCCGCTCGAGGACGGCTCGGTCAACGTGGCGATTTTCTGCCTGGCGCTCATGGGCACCAACTGGCTCGACTTTGTCGACGAGGCCTACCGCATCCTCCACTGGAAGGGGGAGCTGTGGATTGCCGAAATCAAGTCCCGCTTCGGGCCGGCCCGCAGGAACACCGTGGTCGAGCACTCTGTTGGGAACCGCAAGAAGAACAACGCGGCGCCCGGCAAGAAGGTGAAGGCGGCGCGGGACGCGGAAGCAGACGCTGCCCACGGAGAGGATCTGGCCGTCGAGGTGGACGGGCTGGAGGACAGGCGCCGCGAGACAGATGTCAGCGCGTTCATTGAGGCGCTCAAGAAAAGAGGCTTCGTTCTGCACGGCGAAAGGGCCGAGGCTGTCGACTTGAGCAACAGGATGTTTGTCAAGATGCATTTCACAAAGGGCGCCTCGCCGACAAGGGGCAAGGGGGTCAGGACCGAGGATGCGTCCGAGATGGCGGCGTATAGGAAAAACCAGGGCTTTGCGCCAAAGTGGGATGAAGATGGGGACGCAGAGAGGAGCGGTGATGAAGCGTCAATCTTGAAACCTTGCGTATATAAGATTCGGTAGGAGGGCAACGGTTATACATTTCGGCATCTCGCATAATGTGGACGTGGTTTTGATTGCCTACTTTCATGGCTTTGGTGGCCTTGTCATGAATCTCAAATCCGGCTAAACAACATTATTCATCATGAGTTCCTGCTGTCTATTCTCGTCAATTTTCACAGTCAACTCGCCCCTCGTTAGACCCCTGTCTCCAAGGATATCTGCCACGTGCGCCTCTTTCAAAATTCAGGGGTTGAATCATAAGCAATCTCTACAATGAAGCCGTTATTCGGGCCAAGAGGAAAAGGCCGCTCTAGTTTTTGGTCTAAAAGAAAATCAGACTTGCTGCTACATCGACATTATCTTCTGCAGCCTGCAGAGCTTGGATCGCCTGTTCCCGTGTGGCTCCCATAGCCATCAGGCTTTCCACATGTGACGCAGTAACGTTTGGCGTTGAAGTTGAAGTTGGTGTTGCTGCTGAAGGTGCCGGGGCGCCTGGGATACTCCTCGGGGCCTGTGCTGGCTGCGCAGAAATTGATGAAGCTTGGGTCGATGGCTGCTGCGGCGGCAGGACTGCACCCGTCTCCTGACCAATGGTGGTTCCGGCAGGGCCCGGAATAGTGGCTTCTTGCTCGACTGGCTCTTCATCCTTGGGAATGTCGGCCTCGCCCAAGAATGGTACTTCCTGTCCTTGGATAATAAGCCTATCTCTAGCAAGATCGATGGTAGCTTGATATCTCTTTAACATGTCCAAGCCAAGGAGCAAATGCGTCGTCTTCCCCTCCATGACAGTGAAGCTGCACGGAAGAAACAGGTTGCCGACTCTGATCTGGGCCGAGTGAACTCGTCCCAGAATCTTGGCGGTGCCGACGCCACGGGCCACACCAGCGAATCTCGTGTCGATGAGACGCATGATACCGCATGCCTCGGCGTACGCGGGTGACATGATAGTGGCTTGAGCGCCGGAGTCTACCAAAGCTTTTACCTTGTGCCCGTTTACTTCGACATCAATGTATAGCAAATGTACGCGACCAAAAACTAGAAACTCTGTCAGCATTTGCGGCGACAGACTGTCCGGGCGCAGTGGTTGACTGAATGTCGCTAAGCACACCTTCAGGGTTGTGTTCCATGGCACTCTGTAAATTCTCCATGACTCGTTCCTGGCGGATCATATCCTCGATTTTTCTCTGGTTTTCAATATTGAAGGGATCCTGGTTTAGTCTCTCGATCTCCCGCTGTCTCTCCTCTCGCTCTCGACGGTCCCTGTCCTGGCTGTTCTGAAAGATTTGGGAGAAGCGCACTGGATCATCCACAGCGGCGGCAAGCTCTGGATGCTGCCTTTGCAGCTGTTCCCTTAGGGCCGGATTGCCCAAAATTTGCAGGCGGATCAGCTCGGGGTCATTACTACCGCTGCCCTGAGATCGCGGGGGCGGTTGAGGTGGTTGTGGCTGAGCGGCGGCCTCATTGGCACCCGTGTTGCCTCTGAGATGTCTGACGTGGACAGCTAGCATACCGCCATTGGGTATTCCCAGCTCTTCGATAGTTTTGGTGTCGTCGGTGAGGAGGCGGCCGTTGTAGTAAATGTGAAGCGAAGAGCCGGGAATGTTGGTATCGGCATGAACGGATTCGCGGAGGGTCTCGAGGGTCATGTCGGGAAAGATTTCCAGGTTCAACAGGGTATCCTGGTCCCCCCCAGTTTGGGTATTATAGATGTTGAGTGTAATCTGCCTGCAATGACGTGGTTCTTCTGGTCAGCTTTATCTTGCCGGTTCATGATGGAGGGTCTTCTTTCCCCTTCTCCAGTCCAGTTGCCTCCAATCAGAATGGTAAGCTTACATAGCACCCGTGTGTATACGAGTAGAGATGACGTGGGGGAAAAAAAAAAATTGAAACTCTCGGGAAGAATGGCAGCGACTGGTGATGTGTGTGGGAGGGAAAGACTTTGGGTTTTCTGAAGAGGGAATGGCAAAACGTGCAGTTGTAGTCTGGTCGAGAGTCGAGACGAGCTGCCGCGCCGCTCGTTCAAGAGCCACTTGGATGATGGAAAGCTGCAGACAAAGGCGGAATGAAGCGGGTCGGTGGGGTATGAGGACATGGAGGGGCAACACCGAGAGAGCATTTGCTGAATGGAAGGAGCGCACGACCAACTGCCTCCTGCCTGCCTTGCAGAGTTCGTACCCAGCTCAGAGTACAAAGATGTGACGAGAAATTTCAGTCGGTGCTTTCTTCTCATACTGAAATGCTGGCTGTGTTTTTCTCGGTACGTGTTCGCGACCTGAATTCTTGACTGACCGACTAGCACTCCATACAGGGCTACGGGATCCTCGATGAATGGCGGAACCCGATGCAATGCGACGCGCGATGCGATGTGATGCATGCGACCCAAGCAACCCAAAACTCCTGCAGGTGACAAATTGGGATTCATCACGTTTCCCTCTTCCGTCTTAATGCCCGTATGTTTCATATGCCGCCCACCTTGCTTTTGTTTCTGTTTCTCTTTTTTCCATTGTTCACACATGGAAGGATACAGTTGGCTGATAAATGTTGCGGAACGATAAGGAAAGTGACGTGTACGACGGACGAGCATCGCAGCACACATTGATCAAAAGTTGACCAGTGACGGCGGAAGGTGAGTCAAGACAAGTTGCACAGGCGCAGAGTACGCGGGCACGCTGACCAACCTTAGCTGATATGTCGGAGGTTTTGCCTCCATCACCCGCAAATCGAGTTGTCATCCACGTTTTCCAATCGCATTGCAAGACTTGATCTAGTCAGAGCTTGCCACCAAAAACGCATCGTTGGACTAAATTTGCCACTTTCAGAGCGGTCTGACGCCGGGGTTTTTATCCCATCTTCATATCATCAGTAGTCGCATGCCATCGTACGTATTTGGTCAAGGGTTCACACGCGAACTGCTTCCCTTCCACTTACCCGCATTATCAGATTGCCAACCCTGATCACATGGACCGTAGCAAAGAGGCACAAAGCAAACTCAGTGTAAACATCAACTCGATTCTAGCCAGCTACGGAAGGAAAACAAGGTGCCAACAGCCAGCTGACATAGTTGTCATTTCCTATTCGGTTCACCCGCATCATTCAACGACGGACAAGCCGCAGCGAAAAGTGGGCTGAGCATCGGGCATGGCGTTGTTAGTCCCTGGCAAGCAACCCGGAAGGCCCAAAGGGAAGACAACTGTGACCATTGATTGCATGGAGCAGGAATGTCCCATTGTAACTTACCAATTAGCAAACCGTTGACATTTGTCCAGTGATGTGCAAGGAAACGGCCAGCCACAAATGGACGGTAGACCGGTGGCCCGCTCAGATTGGCAGACGAGAGCAACAAGGACATTGTCACTACTCCGTACGCGGACCTACAATTGAGCCTTTGTTCCGCGCTGAGTCTCGTCCTCCGACCTGTTCTGTTCTGGCATTCTGGCCAGCATTACCTATTCTCACGTGTCGCAACAAGGTTGCATCGGGCTCTCTGGCTATGTCATTTGTTCTCGACGTGAGGGAATTCTCTCTGTCCTTCCGACTCGTCTCTCCCACGACCGCTCCGCACCACCATTTCGACTAGCATTCGCGCCTGCGCCTGCTCAAGGTGCACTGTCGACCGTCGACCAATTGCGACGCCACCTAACCAATGTCTGGACTGAGGGTGCCGGGCTACTCGAATACATGCACGTTTTATGTGCCAGTGCTATCTGACTTTCCCGCCGTTCCCACGCAATTCCAAAGCTCTCGACTCGGTCATCTGATGCCATTCTCTTGTCAATAATTAAGCAGTCCCCTGGCTCTTATTGTTTGCACTTGCTATAGCATCTTACTACGGGCATTCAAGTGTTGCATTTTACTTCCTTTCAACTCGACCTTGCCTCAAGTGCCGCTTCGACACCCTCCTTTTCCCCAAAGCACCTGGTCCCGGTCCGTTTGATTCGTCCTGTCATTCTATGGGTTGCGTTAGCATGTAAGAAGCATCATGGATCAAAATCCGACACAGAGATCCAATGATGATGAACCAAAAACAAACAATGAGGCACGTACCAACATCTCTGAATCCGAATTCGAATCTGGGGCTCGTCCCGCAATTCCAGAAGACTGTGCTATCGGGGACTCTGATGAAGATGACGAGGAAATGGTAGAAACTCAACGAACAATGACCCAGAGTCGAATGTTGAGGCAGAAGTCTCCAGGAGAACTGCGCAGAAAAGTGATTCCTTTCCACTGGGCCCCAATGCTTTCTCCTCTTTCACCTGCCGATATAGATGCATGCGAGACCCTCGAGAATGTTGCCGTGCCAAATCGACCCCACGCCTCTAGCAGGGAAGAGGTATTGACAGATTCCATCCTTGCTTTTCAGCGAACACTTTTATTCTTGTTCTCTATTTTTAACATGGCCCAGATCGAATACCGCATCAGGAAATGCGGCAGCATTTGCGTGGGCCTTTTCAACACCTATCGTCCACGCGATGCAGAAGACTGGTGGATTCAGACAATGCCTCATGCTCGTCCCGTCGAGACTGGCAGGCAAGATGGGTCCAAACAAGTCATGTTCGCCCATTTTATTGCCACGTTGGGCAAGCATTCCGTCGTGACGGATAATGATGTACAATTTCCACCCACTTGGAGAGACTCGGCAGCGTCTCAAAACTCGCCTTTGGGTCACCAAACATCAGGTAGAACAATATGTCTCCACTCTTTCTCAGTATGTCCCGAGGTTCAAGGCATCGGAATAGGCAAGGCCGCCATGAAAGCCTACATTCAAATGATGAACGAATCCGGCGTGGCAGATCGTATCGCTCTCGTTTGCAGCAAAGTAAGCATAGTAGGTCTTCTTGTGTCCGTGAAGGGTAGCAGCTTATCCATCATCCAAGTCCCTTGTCGCTTTCTTTGCTGGCGTCGGTTTTCAGAAGGCTGGAGACAGTCAACTGAGCGCCGCTGGCCCGGATTTGTACAACATGGTGAGTTTCGAACGATTTGTATTGTTGGTGTAGTGATGCTGAGCGTTCTGATTTGCGCAGGTATTCGAGCTTCCAGGTCCCAAAGCTCTTTTTAGCTTGGATCAGTCTCAGAATCGCGCCAAGGCGTAGGTCTATTGCACTGTCAATGAGTCGAAGTACTCTTCTACGTATCGAATTCGAACATTTTCTCGCACTCACTTACAGGCATGAGGTTTAGTGCTAAAATTGCCCCTGCTATACAGTCCTTGGTCGTCTCACCCGAACTGAGTCTACGCATTAAACGACGCTTAGTGACGTTTCGTATTTAACGAAACGTGACGAAGTAAATATCCTGGCTCAGCTCGATGTGGACGGGTCTGGGGGTTTATAGACGTTATAGTTGCCCAAGCAGTCATATACAACTATAGCTGCCGCGGAGCTCAGAAACCCGTCAAACTTTTCTCCAGGGTGTCGACGCGTCCCAGAAATGGAGGGTATGGCGTCTTTTTTTAGGAGGGAAGGAAACCAGGAGTTGGTGTTAACCGGGAGGGTTACAGTGATGGCCTTGTTTCACGTCTCTACCATGCAAAACGGAAGACGACAATGTGGGATGAGCGTTATAACGCCTTGCGGTGATTACATTGCTAGCCGACTATTTGTTAGGAACGCAGTTGGAGCTTGGGTCAGATGGAGATGAAGTAGTTGGCCTGGAATACTCCGTACGCGCGCCAATGAATATGTGGTGACGTTCACAGCTTCGACAATAACCCCAGAGCTAGGGTTGATAACCCAGCAGGGGAGCATAGTTTCTCAGTCCAGCAGGTAAAGAGCTTTTGAAGGACGCCATTTTGAGCCCGCATCTTGCACTTGTGCTTACAAGATCTGATATCAGCGGCGCTTGCGTGCTGCTGCTCGCTGACTTGGAATGAATGGTGATCCAAGCCGGCAATATGTTCTGAGAGCTGAGCGATAGACTCATACCGACCATGCCAGCAGTTTTCTAGAACCGGAAACTCCATATCCCTGACAAAAGGGATCATGGCCGCGCGCCGTCATCCCCTAGTAACCAGGCAAAAGGTTCCGTCACAGACGGGGCAGTGTCTCCGATCTTACGCCTATGGTCAAAGTCGGCAAGTTTGGTGTCGCGCGCGTCGGACGGCAGCATGTTAGCTGGCCGAATATCGCAATGTGCCAAACCCAGCTACTCGAGCCAAGCTGCTGCCGCTGCAAGCTGCCGATCCACCGGAGACAGTCTTCCGCCGTCTGCAGCTTCTCTACCAGATGCCAAGTGTCGTGTGTTATTTTTTTTTTTTCGTTGGTGATTTCCCCTCCTTTTGCCAATTAATGCCGACAAGGCGGACTCAGCAACAGAACAGTTTATTCTCCAGAAATATATTCATGTCTTCGAAAACAAAGCTCCTCTACGAACATCCTACGGTCGTTGGTCGAGCTATTGTGGTTACCTATTCTACACCCTCGTATTAAAAAGCTATCACACGTCCTTTCCCCTATATTTGAGTTTTGCCTTTTTTTTTGTTAATTTTTTGTATTCAATTTTTTTTTTTTGGACTCTAGATATTCCCATGTAGCAACCATGGTCTTCTCTAGTCCGTGGCCTTGTACTTCTGGCGGTACTCCTCAGTCCGTTTGATTTCATCATCAGAAGCAAAGCTCCTCATACCCGCAATGATGTCGTCCAAGGTGAGAATAGCAAAGATGGGAATACCGTACTCCTTTCTCAGCTCGCCAATAGCGCTAGGACCTGGCTTGGAGTCGTCGCCATCCGCAGCGGGCAGCTTCTCCTTGCGGTCGAGGGCCACGACAATACCCGCGACGATACCACCCTCCCGTCTGATCTTTTCAATGGCTTCTCTCTTTGCAGTGCCGGCAGTTATAACATCGTCCACGATGAGAATCTTCTTGCCCTTGAGAGGGGCGCCGACAATGCTGCCGCCTTCGCCATGGTCCTTGGCCTCTTTTCTGTCGAAGGAGTAGGAGACAGCGTCCAAATTTTCGGGGGAAATCTCACCGAGCTTAATGGTGATGGCGGAGCAGAGAGGTATTCCCTTGTACGCGGGCCCAAAGACAACGTCAAACTCCAGGCCGGCGTTTTGCTGGGCATCAGTGATGGTCTTGGCAAAGGCGGACGCGATAGCACCGGCGAGACGGGCAGTGTGGAACTCGCCAGCGTTGAAGAAATAAGGTGATATTCTCTTGGACTTGAGCTCGAAGCTTCCGAACTTCAGGACGCCACCCTCAATGGCCGCCTTGAGGAATTCCTGCTTGTAGGGAGCAAGTTGGCTGGACATTGTTGCTTTGTAGTTGTGAAAGACGGGACGGATGGAACCAGGAAGAGACGGTATTTGTTTAGGCCGGCACGTCAATGCGTCATGACAGCTGCTTGGACAAGGACCGAAGGTATCTGTAGGATGGAATTTATTGGTAACTTACAGTCATTCGTTTACTCCTTGGGAAGAGTCTACGAAACCAAGCCCTATGCAGAAGTCGCGGGGGTCTGGTTAAAGTACCAACCCACCAAATTTTCGCAGGCGCGCAACCTTCCCCCTCCCGCTGGCGCAATCTTATCGATAAGGCCTGTTTTGCCGGGACCCCACCCACTTGTGCGCGCGCGAGGAGGAGAAAAAAAAATATGCTTGACCGCCTTGCAAACGGACGGCGTGGTTTGCATCTGCCATCCTCGAAAATCGTTGCTCTCGGCCACGAGCGAGTCCAGAGACCTTTCTACGACCTCAGGCAATCGCGCTCGAGAGTCTTCTGTTGCCCAAGATGAAGACGACGTGGAAGGATATTCCTCCAGTTCCAACTCAGCAGGAGTTCTTGGACATTGTGTTGAGTCGAACCCAACGCAAACTGCCGACCCAGATTCGTGCAGGTTTCAAGATAAGCAGAATTCGAGGTGAGAAAGGATCTCGGCCATTTGGCCATGAGATTTTATATATATATATATATATA